TGGCTTATGGCTATTCTCTGCTGTCTCGGGTGACGAGATGTTTGTCCCGTTTTAGCAACCGTAGCTAGTGGGCTGAGCCAATTAGTGCAACTCACAACCGAACCGCTAGATGATGCTAAAATCTACACACTGCACCTTTAAGTGATCTCCAGTAAACTAAAGCACAGTCTTCACATTCCAATGAGATTAATAATCCTATTCCTAGATCCTAACATTACAAAATGGTCGTATTGCCATTTGCAGAAATACACCGATCCGGTCAGAAACAACCAATCAGAGCCAGGAGGAGTGTCTTAGCAGTGTCAATCACATCACACCCCTCCCTTGCACAGCATACCGTCATTCAAACCAAACTCAAGATTGCCGGTGTGCTGCAGCTGTGCTGGTGAAGAAACAACCCAAACTGCCAATTTCTCGAGTGGCACCTGCTCATAAAACAAAGAATGGTAAAAGGAAAAAAATCATAATGATAAACAAGCGAAAAAGAAAGAATTAGGCAGAGCCCATTGTCTTGGTATCAAAACTCTAGCTGCGTTACATGTAGATAAAATATCACGCACTGTGCAAAGCAACAATTGAAACCTGCTAATTCACTGACTGTCATGTTGCTGAAATAATGTTGTGGCGTGAGTGATAATGAACAACACCTGTGAGACGCACCGGTCTCGCATCTCTCACGGAGGAGCGGAGGCATAAAGGAGGAGCGATGACAGTGGAGAGAGGAACAGGCCTGATTTTACGCTGTGATTTTATGTTCTGTTTTGCGTGTTGTCCATGAGGGGCTGCTGGCTTATACTTCAATTTTGGATTTGTTTATTTATTATTAAACTTGTTGAATGTTCACCGGTTCCTGCCTCCTTTTTCCCGTAACTAAACGCTGTTACAAATGCAAACCTTATCTAGCATTAGGCCTACATATCACTAGAATAATTACTTGAATTATATTCTCGTCGCTTGATAAACTTATAGTTGAGCCAGAGTCGGGCGATTTCCAAATAGGTTTAGATCTTCACAGTGAATTTTTACACTTCCGAAAACTCTGTGTAAACAATGAGTGACTTACATGCGCGAGAGATCACTTCCGGTGCTTTCCGGCGCATGTGCAGACTGAAGCGCCCGTCCCCTCAGATCACTTGGACGTGGCTGTGGTTACAAGAGGTAAAATGATATAAATACTGTTTGTTTTGATGGACAAGTCTTCCCTTGTTGACATTTTGTTAACGTGGGAATAAAAATGTTATTTGACACTATATAATCGTATATCTCCAATCAAACTACAAAAATGGCCGAACGGGGTGCAGTTGAACCAAGTGTGAACTCGGCAACCTGGAGAACGTGGTGACACATATCCTTCACATTTAAAGAGGCCGCTCCAAAACGAGTTGCTCACAGACGCACATCAGAAAAGGGGTAGAAATAATACCCCTCATAGCCCGTGGAGTTATAATAATGAGGAATTCAGACCCAAGTATTGCAGTTTCACTTTATATAGACCACAAATGTATGATTTATATGTAAAAAGGAATGATTTAAAAGCATGATATGTACCCTTAGTTTAAAGTGATTCGAGGCATCACTGCAGTGAGCGCTTTCAAATCCAGTTTCACTTTATTTCGTCGGTCTGGGTCTGCTAATAAATCAGACTGCAGGAACCACCACAAATGCCGCAAGAACCAATTACGGCATAACCAATTTCTCAAAAAAAAAAGAGAATTTTTTTTTTTTTTAACTCAGGGGCAGGCAATCCTCGTTTTTATGACTGATAATCATAGTCACGTTCTAGTCGGCTACTCGAATAGGCTAATCTTGGCCATCCTTACACTCTGTGAAACTATGTGATTTGACTGTATTACTGTTTTATTCTCTCATCCTCTGTCTCTCATTGTAGATGGGAACCTGGAGCAACACTGGGGTGCTTGTTCGATAGCTTATAGCCTGAAAAACAAGGTAAGAATGGTAAAAGATAAAAGAGAACACAATATAACACAAAGCTGTCAGTTATATTCAGCTTGTGCTTGATAACAGGAACTTTGCCCATTTATTGTCGCCCATTTTATTGCACCACTCTACGTTTCCACCTCTTGTCTTTTCTCAGCCTCCATCTGTGGCTATAGTTAATAGTTCAGATAAAGGTGAGGCTCCACTGAGGGTGTGTCCTGGTCAGAGGTTTCAAATTGCCTATTTGCTGGCTCACCTGCAGGCAGCACCAGTCTCTGCCAATGATGTGCTGCTAAAGCCGTACCTAGCAAGCTGGGATGAGCTTATCAGGTAGGTTAACGGACATAATCTCATCATATAGCAGGCTATGCTACATATTCCAAAGCTATAACATATGGGCAGCACGATCAAGAACACAAACTTCAACAAACAAGTACTGAATAACTTACATTTTAGACACATTATTTTGTCCATTTCCCCCCCCAACAAATAGCTAAGCAAGAATGAACAGTTGCATGTCTCTGAGCATCACACATTAGTGGTGTTTCATCACCAGAATTAAACAATGTTGTACAAATCGGTTAAATTAATGATTCAACAACTCACTCAAAAGTCACTTGTCGCCACCAACTGGATTACCAATGGAACTTGCAGAAAGAGTTACTAGCTGCATCTAAAAAGCAAAAGTACTACATTTGAAGCTCACCATAATGTTTCGTAAAAAGGCTACTATTACCCTAGTTGTGCCCCAAATGTCACACTAAAGGCTTCTCAACTTTGTTAGGTTTATACTACACTTTTCACAACACCAACTGGCCAATCAAATCTGAGAACTGCAACTCTCTGATAACAATATCATAAATAAAGTAACATGCATGTTCAAAATATCTCTCCTCTTTTCTGTGCATTTAAGGTTTTTGGAAGCCTTGGGGCCAATGGTGGGTTTAATTTCACAAGAAATTGAGTCAAAAACCACCATCATTCGTGACCTGGCACAAAAAGCAGAAAAAAAGGCAGAGAAGAAAATGAAAGACAGAAAAATGACTCAGCAAGGAGACACAGTCATGTCATCTCATAACAGATCTTCTAGCTACTCTGAAATAAACCACAGCTTCTCATTTGGATACACATCTGTGCGGTCTATGATTAAATGGGAGTTGGAGAATGGTTTAGTGGATTTTCACCAGCAGACAAACTCAGGCTGCAGGACTCTTCTGCGCTTACACCGCGCTCTGCTCTGGCTGCAAAACTTCCTGCAGGAACTAGGGAAGGATGCAAATGAAGGAGAGCGTCTACGTAGCCCTTCTGACCTCTGCAAAGAGACTTACCAGCGCACACTGGCCCAACATCACACCTGGTTTGTGAGAAAAGGAGCAGAGCTGGCCTTTCTTGCTATGCCTGAACGACCTTATTTCTACAAGTTGGTTTGTGTGGAAACGCAGGCAGAAGCCACTGTGATACTGAACAGGGTTGTGAGAGCGATAGGAGAAGTGTACAAAAGAAATGAGGATGCTCTAAAGGAACACAGCATGCTGAATCTACCCTGAGTGTAGAAAGAACGAGGGAAATAAGAATGGGACCAACCTAAAGCACAGAACACTAAAACACAAGACTAGAAATTTAAACCTTTATAAGAAGAGAATGAAGACATAGCTGGATAAATGGGAGCAATACAAGGCTTACTGTTTCCATCGTATCTTCAAAGAAAGGTCAGTTTTCTAAAAAAGGATTATTGATGACAAAATTCATGACAACTTGGATTGGGCAATTTTGTCTGAAATCTGGAAAAAAAAAAAAAGAAATCAAACAAACAGTTGTTAAAACAACTCATATACATACACACTCACCTAAAGGATTATTAGGGGACACCATACTAATACCGTGTTTGACCCCCTTTTGCCTTCAGAACTGCCTTAATTCTATGTGGCATTGATTCAACAAGGTGCTGAAAGCATTCTTTAGAAATGTTGGCCCATATAGATAGGATAGCATCTTGCAGTTGATGGAGATTTGTGGGATGTACATCCAGGGCATGAAGCTCCCGTTCCACCACATCCCAAAGATGCTCTATTGGGTTGAAATCTGATAAATGTGGGGGCCATTTTAGTACAGTCAACTCATTGTCACGTACAAGGAACCAATTTGAAATGATTCGAGCTTTGTGACGTGGTGCATTATCCTGATGGGTACATGGTGGCTATAAAGGGATGGACATGGTCAGAAACAATGCTCAGGTACAGTAGGCCGTGGCATTTAAACGATACCCAATTGGCACTAAGGGACCTAAAGTGTGCCAAGAAAACATTCCCCACACCATTACACCACCAGCCTGCACAGTGGTAACAAGACATGATGTTGCTGGTTACCTCATCAATGTTGCCTCATTGCTGCTTACCTCGGTTGTAACGAGTGGTTATTTCAGTCAAAGTTGCTCTTCTATCAGGTTGAATCAGTCGACCCATTCTCCTCTGACCTCTAGCATCAACAAGGCATTTTCGCCCACAGGACTGCCGCATACTGGATCTTTTTCCCTTTTCACACCATTCTTTGTAAACCCTAGAAATGGTTGTGCATGAAATCACAGTAACCGAGGAGATGTGAAATACCAGCCCGTTCTCATCCCAAGGTGTCATATACTGACGCTTTTGCCAATGCGTAGACATCCAACGCACATGGCACCCTTTAGCGTCAATATGAGATGCAGATATATATGGTGCAGAAGACGCCTCCTAGTGATCTAACCTTAACACTATCCCAGACCTAAACCTACCCATAACTGAAGCGAGTTATATTGACGCTAAAGGGTGCCATGTGCGTTGGATGTCTATGCATTGGCAAAAGCGTCAGTATATGACGCCTTGGAATGAGAATGCATTGGAAATACTCAGACCGGCCCGTCTGGCACCAACAACCATGCCACGCTGTAATTGTATACATACATATATATATTATTGCATAAAGAACATAAGGTACAGTTTGTTTTATATCATATTGAATGACACCTAATTATTTATTTTATATCAAAGCACCTCTAAGAAACCTGATGATTTTTCTCAGCAGACATATTCTGTATTGTAATTGTCATATACATTTACATAGAAGACCATTTACATAAATACAGAATATAAATCAATAATTAATATTGTTAACATAACTTTTTATAGAAACTAAGCAACTGGTCAACATGCTGTGCTTGGAGTTTGTCATCTGTTTTCCTGATATTGGAGAGAAAAAAAAACATGCATTGATTTTGTGAAGACATTAGCCGTTTTGCACCATAATTGAAGTTGATTATGAAAGATCCAGCAATGCAGGCACAGAAAAAGTGACAGACTTTGTTATGTAAGTTCAGTTTTAGCAGAACAACGTTTTTACAATCCATATACTTATCAAATTCAGTTTTATAACTGTGCTACTGATACCTAATGATTTTCCAGGCGATATATTCAACCCTCACACACACCTTCATCTATTCTGGCACGATGACATGATGACAAACTAGACAGCACTGCAACTATTTTATTTCACTTGTTTTCTTTACGTAAGTGGTTGGTTTACAGAAACCTCTCAATGTGGCTAAAATTGGCTAAATGTGGCTAAATTATATTACTTTACAATAATTTTTAACAGTAAACTTGAAAATGTACTGAAACGTTTTGCTTAAAACATTCTTTCTAAATATTTCGAGATTTAGAGATATTATAATGATAATATTTATGAAATGGAATCACATTTTTAAACATAAAAATGGATATGTAACCTTGCATTGAGTCACACATGCATATTATTTCAGGAAACCAAAGCTCATGCAAATAAAGAAATGTTTTCAAATCAAAACTCAGTATTTATTGCAATGAAATTGGCCATAATTCGGATTATAGCTGAGGCAGTTTTTCATAAAGTTTCGCATAATGACCACTGCTACTAACATGCATGAAAATGATTTATAACGGCTAACTTACACAAACACAGATGGCATTCATGTTCTTATGGACAATGAAACTACTAAGCATGCAATTGTGTGGGTATGCCAGCTCTGCTCTTTATTAGTCTGTTTTAGTTAAACAGATATCACTAATGTAAACCCAAGAAATCTTGGTTTTAACCCACCAGAATTGAGTTCTGGTGCAATTTCTAATGCAGATTTTATTGATGAAGAGCAGACAGTGTATTTTTGTTCATTTTATTAAGTTTGTTATTTCAATACATTAGATTAGATTAAGCGTCTGAACGTATATAGGGTGTTCATATAATTAATTTAACTGACTATATAATTTCACCCACTTATAGTTCATCAAACATTTCAGCACACTTTGTGCAATGTCCAGTTCTGTGTGAACATTGAGCCATATCGAATGAACTGCAGTTTTGTTCTGTGTTGTTGCTGGGCCTGTTTACACAACCCACTCCATCTGTTCAAATACATCCAAACCACAGCATTTTCTATTTTCATATGCTTCATATACATTAGATGGATGACTTGTCACCTTGTTTTCAAAAGCTGTTCAGTTCACATGGTTAATAATCATCTTTGCTATGATCTGTATTATCACTGTGAAATTATATGAAACATAAAAGTTGCATATATTTTAGTATTTCAAAGGCAGACTATATAGTGACAATAAATCTTTACTTTCTTGGTCTAAGTCTTGTGACCTCCTTTATAAGCACTGCAAAGCTTAATATCTATCGTATACATTCCCCAGCTGGTACATGCTTTTTTTCATAAAATGCTCAACAAAAATAAAAATATAGGTTCTTTGAAAATATACTTTTTATATCTTTTCTGTATTGCATGTGATTTTAAAACACATCTAATCATTTAAATATATGCTACTAATACATAATTATCTTCATGATCAGCCATTCCAAAGGTAAATAAACATGTATTATGTAACTCTTCTTCATACACGAAATGGACACAAAATAAAAACATATTGCTTTTCAAAAGATGCATATTAAAGGGATAGTTCGCCCAAACATGGAGTTCTGTCTTCACTTACTTGCCTTCAAGTTGTTCCAAACCTGTTTCTTTCTACTGATAAACTATAAAATAATTTAAAGAATGTTTGTAACCAGACAGTTGGTAGTAGCCATTGACCTCCATAGTAGGAAAAAACAAACAAACAAACAAACAAACAAACATGGAAGTCAATGGGTCTTCCTTTGTGTACAACATGAGAAAAAAAACCTCATAGAGGTTTGTAACAACTTGAGGGTGAGTAAATGATGACATAATTTTGGGTGAACTTTGATATCCACATGCTAGTACTATTAAATGTGTAGTTCACCTATAGAAACGGTTGGTGGCGTGGGGGCGCTGTTTACAAAATCTCCAAGCCTGCATTCCCTGCAAGCAACAAAGTATGCACTTACATGCCTTTTTAAGCATTGTATTAAAAATGAACAGCATCCTCAAAAACAATTAGAACAATATTGGAATTATATTGCACAATTAGAATTATGTTGATGTTTCACTCCAGAGTGTGCATGACTATAATTGAACAGGATCAAGTTACTGTAATGATATGTGAGCTGGGACCTGAGGTAAATGAATATTTCATTTTGTTGATTTGAAGCTTTCTCTGCTGGGTCAGATAACATCCTTACCTAGCACAAAAAAAAAATGCAATACAGACATCACAGAGCAACATGTGAATGTGATCAAATGTAATGAACTATTTTGTGACTCAATTTAAATATTCTTCAATAAATGAAGACACTAAACTTATGTCAGATAGATAGATAGATAGATAGATAGATAGATAGATAGATAGATAGATAGATAGATAGATAGATAGATAGATAGATAGATAGATAGATAGATAGATAGATAGATAGATAGATAGATAGATAGATAGATAGATGTTGGTGTGTAGAGCACCATACTTGGATTATCTATTGAGATTAAAGGATTAGGGCATTAGAGGAGGTGTACACACACAAACTCTTGTCATAGCGACTACGACACAGAGAAGCGTGTGTGTACATTCTAATGGGTGATCCATTCTCTTCTCTGTAAGACAGTAGCCTAAACATGAAACACAAGACACCTCACAGAGAATGAGGTGTATGTGCTCAAAGCAAAACATAAAAACGAAAAGAGATTATGAAAATGATGAGAAATGAGGTGGGTGACCTTGTTTTTGTTGTTGTTTGTTTTATTGACTCATGCAGGGTGAGGACTAGGTTGGATTCACTTCTGTCTCCCCTATTAGCAGAGACATAAGCCTGCTGTTCCTGGTCTTAGAGCCTCTCTATCTGTCTCTATGGAATCACTTACAACAAAATCCAAAAATATTAAGAAAGTAAATTGTGCACAAAGATTAACATAAAAGAAATAAAATAAAATAAAACACACACACACATGTAGAAATCCATACGTATTCTCACACACACATATTCAACTTTTTCTACCTATTTTGTCAGATTTTGAACTGAACCCAGGCCTGTTGTAATCCTCTGAGCAGGTGCAAATCAATACAAAACATCACCTCACCACATGAGACAATTAGGATTACACATGCAAAAAAGAAAGGAAAATACTGCAAAATATCTATTTATACATATAAACAAACTTAAATAGACACGCCTCCTGATAAATGAAACGTGACGCATATGACAGTCAGTGCCGAAACCAAAAGAAATGCAGAAATGTTTGTATGAATCATAACGTATCAGATTTTTCATGTGTGTTGAAGATGAATGTTGAGCTGACTTTGATCAGTGCTATCTACATGTTGGTATAAAATATCCTCTTCACTTATAAAGTCACAAATCAGACAGAGGAGAGGTTTCAGTACCACTCTTCACAACTGATATCTCACTCCGAACATGAGATCCTGCCAGCATAGCACATTAAGTCATAGACAACTGCTTTAAAATCATAATTATTTTCTGATAAATTATTACTGCTACTAATGGAAGAAATACAGCATTTTTTAAGTTCTGACTTTTTCTCCTTTTAAAAAATGATGTCCCTTTATTTTTAATATTGTTTAATAGAATAATGAATTATTTAATAAATAGCTCTCATAGCCGAGCATGCGGTTTAACTTTTGTTTCAGAAAATAAATACTGTAATATCTCAACTCACACATGCAAACACACACACACACACACACACAGATGTACACACATTAATACACACAAAGCCACAACCTTGATAACTATCTACAGCCTCACAACAGTCTCAAATGAAGAAAAGATTACAATGCTTTGAAATATTTAAATATTATTCCTGCCTGTGCTGAAGATTGACGTGCCTGTCTTTATGTCTCTAGCTGTGCCTTCTGTGCATAATCATACACTCTCTCTCTCTCTCTCTCTCTCTGTGTGTGAGTGTGTGTGTAAAATAAAGGAACACACTGTCATCTATTTAAAATCTGGAGTTGATTCTCAGTTTGAAGGAAATGCGCCCAGCAAACTTGTCTCGGTCACTGCCCGCTTTAATGTTGTCAGCGTTGATTCTGCACTCCACGTTGACATCCTCATTCATGGTGATGTTGAGGAACTTAATGGCCACTAGAGGCTGAGAGTAGTTTACCTGCAGCAGAAGAAGAGTGAGATGTGGCTGATTTATTAAAAGTGGCCTAATAAAAGCTCTATTGAGATGTTGAGATCACATGATTGAATACAACTCGCTTTATCCCAGTTGCCTTCTGTTATTGGACACTTTCGGCTGCGTCCGAAAGCACATAATCTCTTGAGTAGGTACTTATTTTGAATAAGTAACTCCTTCACAACCACTAAAAAGTACACTGTAAAAAATAAACCGTGAATTTTACGGTAAAAAACCAGCAGCTGTGGTTGTCAGAACTTTACTGTTAAAAATACGGTAGGAACATTAATGGTTTTACAGACTTGACTTAAAATTTACAGTAATATACCGTATTTTCTGATAAAATGATGATTTACCAACTTATTGACATATTGATATCTGTTTTAGACACTGACAACCAACAATCATCACAGCAGTGATGAGAGTTACATGAGCAATCACAGCTCATCACAAGTGAATACTTATATAAAGTAATACTTATTTAAAGAAGCTGCACAGTGTCATTCACACAAACATTAAGCACCATTATGGTTGGTAACATACATGAAATGAAAAAAATGCAATAAACATTAATTTCACAACATTAAATGTAACATAAAACCTTAATGTAAAAAAAAAAACAATAAAACTATAAGGAACCATAGTTATTTCAACAAAAATACATAAAATGTGAAGTGTCACACAGGGAATTGTGGGAGTGTCAATTTACGTTTTTTCACTGTAAATTATACAATGATTTGTTCTTTTTCACTTTCAAAAACTGTAAATTTAATGGTATTTTACTGTAAAATTATATCACAGTTATTTACCGTGTATAGTATGGAAATTTTCTGTTTACCAATTAATAGTTTTGCGCTGTAGCATTTTTACAGTATTTTACCGTTAAAATCACGGTTATTTTAATGAATGTGTGTAGAATGAATTTGGACATACTGCATTCGGCATGTTGTCATTATCATGTGACCTACCAGTGTTAGTTGCATCGCTTCACTGCCATTCATAAATCCTCTCATGTGGCCTCATGAGATAGTAAAGTGTACATAGTATGCACACTTCAAAATCTTGCCCGAAGAAGTAGGTCATTCCTACGGATACTTTTAGCCTACTCTTTTACGAGTACTATGAATTCCGACATACTTTTTTTGTCACATACTGTTTAGAAGAAAGGGGCGGGGTTTAAGTGGACTAATGGAGAATTCCAGCATACGACAGATGTATGACACCGGAAAATTACGTTTTTGCATTTTGGTTTAAAATGGTCATTCACTATGGATAATAATAATGAAACATGCATATATCAAACAGATAGGGTGAATTTTGATTTCATGCTGACTTCAAGTACGCGCAAGATGCGCATCTGTGTGCTTACAGGTGTATTCTCCAAGAGAGTGTGTGCATTGTACCTGGGATTTCTTGCCGTAGTATGGATAGTACATAAGATTGAAGGTGCCATTGGGGGGAAAGTACATCATTTCACCAATTTTGTCTGTGTCATCCGCCTACAGAGGGAGGGAGACATTCAGTTAATCTCAGCTCTGCATTTGATCTGAGGGTATCAACCTGTTCTAATAGCCTACCAAAACTGCTATTACTATATTAAACAAATGAACAGAAAAACTAATTTCCCATTGATATGATCTTATGCTGGAATTATCTAGCATATGATCTGACTGTACGAATAATCATTTTAACTTTTGCCGAAAACGTAGATTTTAAACTTAAAGATTGGTCAGTTTGAGAAAAATATAAAGTCTGGCTTCCAATTTTTCTCTCCTTGCACAATATCGAAGGTGTAAAATACTCTTGTTAAAATGATTATTCTTTATTCTGTCTATTATTCTTACCCACTCGTCTTTCCCAACTTTGTATTTCTGACAAGAATGGATGGGGAGAACAGATGAGACAGAAAAAAACAAAACAAATCATCCACATGAAACATAAACGAAGATGATGAGCAATGGTGTAAAACAACACTCATTGAACAAACACTGAAAGCAAAATCAAATGACAACAATACAGAACACAAGAGGAGGAATGATGTGTCCATGATGACAAAAGCGCAAGATGTGTTAAAAGGAAAAAAGGACCATTTCTGCATGAGTCTGAATGGCACCATCAGATTAAACCACTGGTCGATAGCCAGAATCAACACAAACATATTTGATTTCAAAACAGCATAAAAAAACATCCGCTCCAATGCAATACTGATCAAAGTTTGCTACCTGATAATGCGTGACATTACGGCGGCAACAACTTAAACTAACCTACAGTAGGCCTATGTGGATACAAACAATCAACTGTGTGGTTAACTAAAACTATTTCATTTTCTAAAACTAAACATCATTCGTGAATTAGAATCTTGCAGCAACTAATAAATGCTGAATGCATTCTGACTTACAATGAATGGGAAACACACCAATGTCTCTTAAATTGTTCTCATTTCTGTTTGTATCTTCTCATTTATTTACATGTGAATCGGCAGCACGTAGTCTGTCGTGGCAGTTTTTCTCCGAATGGCCGCAGTTCTAATTACTGGCTAATTTAATCTGCTGGCCTTGTTGAATGGCTCGTGAAACTTTAATCTGAAATCAATCCCTTTCTAATAGACTGAAGGATAAGAAGAGAGTGGGAGACTGTGTCAGAGCTCTCTAACCTTAGCACCACATGTGACGTAAGGAGGGTTGCTGTTTGAAGAAGGAAGAAAATTGATCACCTGCAAAAAAAGAAAGATTAAAATGAGAGAGAAAAAGATAGTGGCCCACAGATAAGAACCAACAGGTCAGATTGGGTTTTATTATGAATCTAAATGAACTATCATAAACATTCAGGCCTCTATCTTTCATTTTGTGGTTTCAAATCAGACATTTATTTGTATTTTTACTGTTTGTAGTATAAAATATTTTCAAAGATGTGCCAAAACATTCTGGCAAGGTTTGGTGGGAGAGTCTGCAGGAATACTCTCTGATTTTCTGATTTGCCAGTTGAAGGACTGAACGGTACAATGTTTTGCAAACTGGGCAACACTTTAGATTAGGGGCCAAGTCTCACTATTAACTAACTACTAACTTTAAAAATGGTAACAATCATTTCCTAACAATCATGTCTTTGTCTCTTTTTAGTTTAACAGAACATGTAAGTGTGAGCAGATTTGTTCAGTTAAAGCTGCAGTCCGCAGTTTTTCCTCTTTGTCGCCATCTCTGTTCGAAATCTGCAATTGCAGTTATTCGCAAAATTATCAACTTTACTTGAGTTGTGCCTCGACACGGCACAGCGCAGATGAACACATTGTTTGAGGAGAGTGTGCAGCTGTCAGTCACCGTGCCGGTGTGGATACTGGCATTCAGAATCACAGACTATTATTTTTGGAAGTATGACCAACATAATTGTTTTCACTGGTAAATGTAATCTGAACAAGTAAGTAACATCCACTTTCGTTCTGGTTCTGACACTGCAGTAAATCACGCTGATTAAATCTAAAAATCCCTTATAAGTTATCATATCACGCAAAACCGTGCAAATGACACTTGGTTCTCAAATTGTTAATGTTAACAACGTCAGCATTGCATGACGACATGTAATGTCCTTCCGATATATATTCTTGTTTTCGCATTGGTCTGGTTGCAGTCTCTTTTTTTCTGTTGCCACTCCGAAGTCCGAACAAAGTCTTTTTTTTTCATTTTAAAGAAGGTGAGTCTCCAGTCGTCACTGATTGTCATTTTGAACCCTTTCTGGATCTGCTATCAAATTGATAAGTTTAATTATATCAAGTGTTGTGAGAAAAGGCTATAAATCTCCACCTCCAGTAACAAAGACATGCTTGAATCTCCCGTGGAAATCCACCAGTACCACTGGAATTAAAAACATTATTACAAGCTTACCGCTTTCAATCGAGCTACTTGGTCTACTACATCTATATTGTGTTCAATGTAGTTATTTATTAATGTAACAACTGTTGGCTGTAATTTTTGACAACCTGCCATGTCAATAAAAAATAAAAGTAGCTACCTAATTGACATAACATGCTGTTTTTATGTAAAACCTTAAAAGAGGCAACAAGATATAAGACCAAGCAGAAAGAGGATTAAAAAAACTATAATAAATCATTTATAAAAAAAATAATAGTAATATTAATAATATGAATATTTTAATGAAGTTAAATATTGTTGAAAAGGTTATTTATACCACCACTAAGGTCCTATATAGCACTTTCAAAGCATGGTTCTTTATGGAACCTTATAAAAAGGGTTCTATTTATCACCAAAAAGGGTAATACTATTGTGACAAACCGAAAAACCCTGATTTGGTTCTGTTTAGAACCATTTTCATTAAAAGTGTAGTTAATAGTGAGAACTGACCCTAAACTAAAGTGTTACCATGAACTGTAATTTGACCATTGTCCATTACTGGTATAGTATTGTAGTATTGTAAATATTTTTGACACAAAGATTTCACTCCATTCTATTCCATGACGTCTTACACGGTTGAGCTTGATGATGACGCAGGGCTTGCCCTCATTGTAACCATAATAACGGTCCTTGATCCCAGAGCAATCCTCCAATATGGAGCGTTTGAACTGGCAGGAACGCTTGGGGAAGTTTTTCAAACTGCCGCTGTCCGCCTGGATGAAGTACTGATCCGGTCTACACTCGTAATTCTTCTGGGCCTGGACTGAGTCATTGTAGGCTGCATAAAAGAAGCAATAGCGCATGACCTATTTTTGTAAAATAGATGCATAACTCTATAATTGTATAATAACTGCAACAGTTTCTCTGTAATAGGCTTATATACAGTATATTATTGTTGGAAAACCTCACTTTACTCACGAGAGAGGAAGTTATCGAGGGCCTGGATATATCTTTCCCAGGTCTCTGTGTACTCCACTGTGTAATCTATCTCCAACTGCTCTCCTTTAGGCCTGATCATCATCCCTAAAAAACAACAGAAAACCAATAAGAGGCAATGTTCACAAATGTAGTCTGTGAGTGTGTGTATGTTTGGGTCACCATGATTTCACCAAGAACAGCATGATTCTCACCCCAAGGCGTCACCTAACTGACCATGCTTCAATATCTGACGCTTTAGGCGCTCTTTAGCGGCAATTAGATGACGCCCTAGGATCGCGTGTAACCCTACCCCTACCCTAGACCTAAAACTACCTGCCTGACGCTTTTCCTTTAGCGTCAGTTAGATGACGCCGTAGGATCCTCATGTAACTGACTCTAAAGGGCACCTAAAGCGTCAAATATTGAAGCAGGGTCAAAAGGTGACGCCTTGGGGTGAGAATGCGTTGATGATTCTGGATCAACATCTTTGTTGATCCTGGAACAACATTCCAATCAACCAGTCAGATTTGAGGGACAAGTTAACAGTTTATGTCAAGTTTAGGCTTACAACTAGGGTTAGGTGCTGCTACATCAGTGTTATTCACCTAACATTTACCTCTGATTTTAGGGATAACATATGGATAGGGTTAAGTTAGGGGTAAGGATATGATATGTGCATTTTCAGACAGGAATGTTGTTACAGGATTAACAAAATAGGTTGATCAACGAACGTGCCTTGCTTGGCACAATCACTGTGACCGAAATATGTTTGCATTTATTATACATCAAAAAGGCTAATGAATTGACCAATTACAACTTTAGGTAACATTAGGGTGCAGTGGTTATCATTTGCTTAATTTAAAAACATATTATTAAAGATTTCCACATGTATAGGAACAAGTCTGTGTGTATCACCTGGAGTAGCAAGTCTATCTTGGTATGTTGGCTTGTGGTCGTCGAGTGTCTGTAGCATTACGTACATGGTGAGAGCAAATAATCCAGCCAGGAAAATGTAGAATGCCAGATAAAACAGCAGGATCAGACCTACATGGACACACACATTTAAATACAAACTCTAAACCAACACATACTGCACTCAAGTTCTTGGAAATTCCACATACAGTAGGTGAATAATATTAAAAATATGAATCATAATAATTACTATTACCACTACTACTACTACTACAAATAATAATGCTGATTCATTTAAATTGACAAATAAATACAGCTGCATACAGGAATTATTGGAGTTTAGGCACCATGAACCCATATTTTGTGTGGCATTAAGCATTTTTGACAGACAGATAGCACAATGACAATGTAAATGCCCCACACATTTCAAGGAGCCATACAGAAAAAGCATTTTTGATGCCACCTACTGTTCGATCAGCACAAGCAAATTTAAGCAAAGTCTCCCACTTCATGTGTTTTGATCTGGGGTGCGTTATGGGATCAAAATCCCACCAAAAATATTGCGGCCACCGATCAAAAAATAATAAGCTAATTCAAAAACGTACACATGTAAAAATATATTGCACAAACTGGAAAAAATAATGCAAAATTATCACAAAGAACGTGGACACAGATCAAAATATAATAAGCGTGAATCAAAAAATAACAAGCATGAATAAAAACGTTAAACACATTATAAAATATTATGCACGAAACTTCAGCAGGGGCGGGCTTCAGCGTCACCATTGGTCCACTAGTTCTAGATTGACAGCTCCTCCTCTTTTATTTTTTTTTTATTTTCCTTTTTTTTTATTAACAACAAATTAGTACAAACATTTGTGTATACATTGACATACAACATAGATATTACAAAGCATTTCACTTTAGGGGGCTATTGTTAACTTATATGAAGATATTACAGTTTTTTTCGATTGCTAAACCACAGTGGAGCACAACTGGAGCTACATGTGCAAAACTCTAACTACAGTCTGCACAGCAGCAGTTCATGTGGACCAAACTCTAGATCGTTTTTCATTGCTTAAACACAGTTTTCAAAACTCTACACACTTATCCCACGACTTTAACCACAACCTGCACAACACTGTGGATTTACAGCACTTTGTTCAAATGCTAACACACTGCTGTCAAAACTGTAAACCACTCATTCAAAACAGAATAAATTTCAGCCTTGTGCCTTTCACACACTGCTGACTTTCAAACAATTTCAGCTGAAAGGATGAAAACTTGTGGCCTAATGCTTGAGAGAGGCAGGGTTACAGTATTACAGTATGTACTTTTAGTTTCTACCTTTTTTTCTCATTACCGTGATTCTGTAAATTACTACAGACTATTGAAGCAAACTGCTAATTTTCAATTGTTATGTTCTAAAACTGTAAAAATATCAAATGAAAGAATGTCACTGTTTTCTTTGAAGAAAATATTACTTTGTATGAAGTGTGAAATTGTTGAAACTGTAAAGATGAAAAGTTTGGATTTTCTGCATTGGTGTTTGGCGCTACTGTTTTTCCTCTCAGTGTGTTCTGAGTAACAGTGTGTGTTATCTCAGTGATGGTTGTGCATAGTGTTGTGCACACTGAGCCTGTTTTGAGCCATGTGTTAAGAGTTGTGCTCAGGTGACTGTTGGTAATGCAGACTGTAGTTAGAGTTTTGCACATTTAGCTGCAGTCGTGCTCACTGTCGTTTAGCAATCGAAAAAAACTGTAAAGCACTTGGATATTTTCAATGTTTTAATTGCTTTTTGCTTCATAGAAAATTGGAGAGAATCAATATAAAGCTCAATTTATTTCCTAAATAAAGTAAAATAAGTTTTTTTTTTTTACAGGAGAATTTGCATTTATGAACATAAAATTTTGCCATTAAAAGAATTAAATTAATTAGATAAATCTGATTATGCTTCTGTTCTCCCAAATACCAAATAAATGGGCAATGCCAAAATAAATGAACCACAGTTTCAGGGAAACTGTCACAAAAGGTACAGTAAGCCTCCTTTTCTTGCCAATCAATGGAAGAGGGGAGTTGACGTCACTCCAATGCGACTCACGCTGCTGATGTTCACTTCATTCATACAGGGGAAGGACTTTTAAGTAGTAAAGCTATCTGCACTCTCTCTGGACATGTGCAAATGATTAAATTAATCTTTTTTGAGATCGCGTACATCGCGTAGAATTTTAATGTGCACACTGGTAATTGGTGTTAAACAATATTACTTGGCTCATGACGTTAATATGCTAAGGAAGCTCTAAGTGAATCCTGCAGTTTTGAAACACTACATTTTCTTTACAAAAATTAAGTTAAAAACGGCCATTGTAACCGTCTGAAGAGTTTAGGACTTTGACCTGTCTATATATGTATATATATATATATATATATATATTAGGGCTGTGCAAATATTAATTGTGATTAATTGCATCCAAAATAAAAGTTTGTGTTAACATAATATATGTGTGTGTGCTGTTTATAATTATTTTGTATTATTAAAGATTTACAGTGTGGCAGCCATGCTGGATGAAAAGTTAATATTAATGAGTGTATTTATTTAATATAAATGTTAAACAGTTACCCAAAAATGAAAATTTACCCATAATTTACTCACCCTCAAGCCATCCTAGGCGTACAGTATATGACTTTCATTTTCAACCAAACACAAACAGAGTTATATTAAAAATATCTTGGCTCTTCCGATCTTTATAATGGGAGTGAATGCAAACAGATTTTAAAGCCCCCAAAAAGCACATCCATACATCTTAAAAGTAATCTATATGGCTCCAGGGTGTTAATAAAGGCCTACTAAAGTGAAGCGATGCGCTTTTTTAAGAAAAATATAAATATTTATACATTTATGGCTAAATAGGCCATACATTTTTGCTGCTTGTCGAAATTGCTTAATTAAAATGAGCTTAAAGGGTTAGTTCACCCAAAAATGAAAATTAAGTCATTAATTACTGACCCCCATGCTGTCCAACCCCGTAAGACCTTCGGAACCCAAATGAAGATATCTTTGATTAAATTTGAGAGGTGGATCACTGCTACATAGGGTCCTAAGGGATCGAAACTTGACGGCCCAGAAAGTCGTTGAAGAAAATGTTTAAATATTATTTATATAGGATATTTTTGATATAATTCAGATTGTTTTGGGCTTAAAAAAGAAAGTCATATATACGCCAAGGATGTCTTGAGGTTGAGTAAATTATGGCATCAATTTCTTTTTTAGTTGAATTTAATGAATATTATGTTTTGAATTTATAAATTTAATATAATGTCTGTACTATAATTTTGTAAAATATTCTGGCACCATTTGGTTATAAAAGTGCCAGGAGTTTTTGCTGATTTTAATGACAGACGGGGCCATTTTGCATAAATGTGACACAAATGTTGCACAGGTATATTTGTGGCAATAGCCAACAATACATTGTATGGGTGAAAATTATTGATTTTTCTTTTATGACAAAAATCGGCTATAAAGTAAAGATAATGTACCATGAAGATATTTTGTATAGTAAAATATTTTCTGCCATAAATATATAAAACATTTATTTTTGTGAGTGAATAAAGCGCAAACTTCAAAAGTGATTTTCTCAATGTTTCGATTATTTTGCATCCTCGGTTTCCAGATTTTCATATAATTGTATCTCTGACATCAATGGAAAGCTTATATATACTGTATGTGTATGGGAACATGATGTTCACCATTTTAAACACCTTTTTGCAATAGACTTGTATTATAATGTAATAACTACACTACCATTCTACTCACAAGTATTTTCTACTCACCAAGACAAGCAATATACAGTATGGATACAAATACATTAAGACAGTAATATTGTGTAATATCATTACAATTAAAAATGATAGTTTTCTATTTTAGATCATGTGACACTAAAGACTGGAGTAATGATGCTGAAAATTCAGCTTTGACATCACAGGAATAAAATACATTGTAAAATAATATGCTGATTTGCTGCTTAAGAAACATCAGCTGTACTGCTGAATTTTTGTGGAAACTGACTTATTATTATTATTAGAAATAGAATAGAAAGTTCAAACGACAGCCTTTATTTCAACTGGACATTTTTGCTTGCTTGCGATCCTTGCTAAATAAAAGTATTATTTATTTTAAAAAATTTACAAATCCCAAACTTCTGAACAGCAGTGTATATAGTATTTATATTACATATCAAAAAATGTTTCTCAAAATAGTATATCGGTCTAATAGTATATCGGACTCGGTCTCAAGACCATATTTTAATGGTCTCGGTCTTGTCATGGACTCGTGTGCATTTTGACTCGGAATTGACTCGTACTCGAACATATTAGGACTCTGGCTTATTACCGAGTCCACTCCCGAGTCCCATTCAAAATATATCATGATTATTACTGTATGTTAATATTTCTTTAAATTGCTGTTTGATTGAAACGTCCAATGATTGCTAACTTTCTTGTGCGCAACTGACTTACGACTATAAAGACTATAACTATAACGCTCGCGGTACGCAAATGCAGCAGGTCCCAGGTCAGATGTGATGTGGTCTGCCTTATCATCCATAATTCAGTTTGCATATAAGAGCCACACAGAATGCATGTGCAGTAAAGTTATGTGAAAGAGCACTTACTGATTGTAATAATTGTAAGTCATAATTATGATAAAATTACCTTTACCACACTATGTGGCCTTTTAACCATTACATGATTCCATGGTATGTTTGGTTTACTGAGTATGGTACTAATTTTATTTTATTGTTACCACCAAATATTTTATGTATTCTTGAAGATATCTTTAAGTCTGGTTTCAGACCCAACCTCTCTGGTCTCGGTCTCGACTCGTACTCGAGTGAGCTGGTCTCGACTACAACACTGTCTTGTAGGACACTTGGTCTGTCTAAAATGTTATGTTACCAGAATTCTCTGATAAAAACTAGCTCCTCCATTTGCCTCAGTACTAAGAATTTACCTCAAAACATATTCACCAATGCATTATATAATTTATGGTTGCTATTTTGATCAGATCAGGCTCTATCCTTCCATAGAGGGTACTGTATATGAGGGATGTTTGCAGGAGTGTGTACGCCTGAGGAGAGCTCATTAAGCTACGGGACACCTGAGCTTCACAAAGCGAGGCCCCTGGGGACAGTCGATCAGGTTGCCCCGGGCCGAGGGAGGAGGGATACCGGATCTCTACCCATCCCCATCCCCCCCCCACCCCCCCCCCCCCCCGCTCCGTTGCATCCAGGAGCTCCCCGCACAGACAGGCTTTCACTGATCAATAACAGCAGTGCAATGTGAGGTTACTCTACAGGCTAGGATTACACATGAGTGTGTGTTAATATGCCTGGAGAGAGTGAAATAGGACGCAAACGATGCATAAGACAGAAAGCGAGCAAAGATAAGGTGAGAACGTTGCCTTATGCAGAGAGACAAATCCCAAATGTTCGAATCATTAAGCACTACTTAATCTCACAGCAGGAGAGCCTTAAAATAACATCTCTATCAGGACACCAAGTACATGCATTATCAAACATTACTTGCTGGGTTTGGTTATAGGGTTAAAATTTGGTACATCCTCATTAGCTCTGCTACTGCCTCTCCTCGCGATCTGTGTATGTGTGTGTGTGTGTGTGTGTGTGTGTGGCCGATTCTGCACCAGGTGAGAGTGATACACTATCGGTGCTCTTCTCTTTCTTTATCTGTCTCTCATCATGATGAAAGTCTCCCTCCCTCTAATTTGAATGCAACCTGAAAGACAGGAGAAAAATGTGCTGCTGTGATCTGTTCATTAATACAGACACAACCCCATACAAACAGTCTCTTTAGATCTGCACACATCCTTTCTGATTCATCAAACCTACCAGGCCACCATACTATCAAACACAGCTTCAGAGGAACACGCAGCTGTGATGTAGACAAAGTGAATATCAATTTCCTGTTTTGGCAACAAGAACTTCGTAATGCAGGCAAGCAAATAAATACAGTAATACAATGTGCTTCACATTGTAACTAAATGAACTGATTTTATTTAAGGCAAAAATACTTATAATCACAGAATCAATTAGGTTACACCAACAAAGATAACGGTTAGATCAGGTTAAAAAAAAGAAAGAAAAAAACTTCTCAGGGTAACTACAGCAAATAACTTACTAGCTCTCTGGAATACTTGATTTGAACATTCCCAGTCATCCATAGCAACTTCGAAAACTAAACTGAAACTTAGAAGACCTCATATTAATATAATGTAATATTGTTACAGTGTGTTCACCATGCAAGGCTCATTGTTTTGTACATTGTAGTGGACTATTTTTTGTAGAGCAATATTAAGGATAATATGCAGGTAAAATTACACAATTACATAATAACATCTCAGTCAAAACGAAATACTTACCAAGCAAGATTAATTTGTATTTTTTTTTTACTTAGCCATTACTGTTAACCGTCATCAGAGAAGCAAACTTATGCAAATGTATTGTTAAATTATTTAAATATTAACTTAAAGTCTAAATTATTTACTTCAAGAAAACATTTTATGTCTAAGGGTCTTTGGCTGATACAACAACTTGGGAACCCCTGATATCTGTCCCATAATATCTCCAAAACTTTCCCTGTAAAAAACATTGCTGCCTTAAACATTCAAATTGATTGCACTTAAATTTAAGTCATTTCAACTTAAAAATTAGTTGAGTCTTGTACTTAAAGTTGAACTTTTTTTATTTTGACGAGTTAAAGCAATGTAAAAACATATGTTGTCATAACGTTTTGATCATATAATATTTTTACAGTATAGGCAAACCCTAATGCTCCTTTGAACGGGGCATCAAGATCTTCTGCTATTGGATGCTGCATTATGAGCTGCAATTGGTTTAAAGAGTCACCAGCCTTTGCAAGAGTGATGTTTAACAACAAGATGGGACACAGGCTGTCCATGACCATCCAGAGGGCTGTAGTGAGATCAGGTTTAAGTGCCTTTATCGGATGTATTGACCCCTCTGTGCCCCATGAATCCTGAAAGCAACCTTGGATGTTTCAATAGAAGACACAGCTGTATGCATGTAGCTTCAGCTTCCACCGTCCTCCATAGGTCACTATTAAGCTCCAGTAATGAGGATGTACTTTGTTAAAGAATCTAAGCATACCCAGGTTCACTCTAGTTTGGGCACAGACAAAAATAGACTAATTAAGGAGTCTTAGAGAGCACACTGGCTTAACTAGGCAGTTAGTCCTCAGAGCATCTCTCACACACACACACACACACACACATGCACATGCACACACAAACACGCACAGTGAAGTGCTTGCACATTCAGCTCCCTAGAGCAAAATATGCTGGCATACATGAAAGTCTTGAAGGCACGACCTAGCATTTCTCTAACTCAAGTGCTCTCTCTCTCTCTCTCTCTCTCTCTCTCTCTCTCTCACACACACACACACACACACACAATCCCATAGCATTGACAGCTGAGTTATAGATGCCCAATATTGGATGGCAATTAATGCCATCACACCCTGATTAAAAGATACATTCAATTCCAGAATTAATCTACAGCCCTTGAATAGGCTGCGTCTCCACATGATAGCCTCACCAAGGGAACCAATGAGCCTATTAGTAAAGGATTACATCTTACACTAATTCACAAACCCCCATGCACACACTCAAAATGGCCCGTGGCTAGATTAAATCATCCCAATGTCACTGTAAAAGACAATTTACAGCAGCAGGCAATGGGCTAAAGTTGTTTTATGGTTCACTTCTATTTAGGTTTGTATATTTGGAAAGTTTAACCAGGTTTAAACCAAATGGCAGAATGAACATTGTAAATGTACATTGCCTAAAAAAATAAAAAATAAAAAAAAAATCTCTAGCTGATGATGTTATAAAATTGAATGGTTGGCATTTGTTCCTAACTGTCATTAAATTAGGTTTATACCAGCCTTATGATCAAATGTGATAAAGGTGGCAAACTGATTGCTAAAGTTAATCAATCTGACCTCTCTATAGCAACTGTTTGGGTATAGCTAATGGTAACACACAATGGTAAAATAATGCAATAAACATTATAAAATACAAAATAAACCCTCCAATCTACATAACTGCTACCAAGAAAAAAAAAACCTTTATGTTTGAGCAGGAAATGCCACTTTTCCAATTAAAGTTATTCTTACTTTTAACAAAAACATCACTTATACAGGATGTCACTATATTTGCCTTGTTATAATCTTTCACAAAAACTTATACCATAATTAACACTTTGAACTTCTATAAACAACTGTACATAGTAAGGTACTTAACTACAGCAGCATTTTGATATTCATTTTGCAGTTAAAAAGACTATTCTTTAAAGAATGTGGTTCAGGTAACACTGATGTGCAAGCCTTTAGAGCAGGGATGGGTAATCTCGGTCAGTGGCCCCCTGCCCTGCGGAGTTTTGCTCTTGTATAGCTTTCTAGCAATCCTAAAGACCAGCTTGTTCAGGTGTGTTTGATTAGGGTTGAAGCTATCTCTTCAGGACAGTAGACCTCCAGTACCGAAATTGCCCACCCCAGCTTTAGACGTTCTGCCAGAAGCGCATTGTGGAGTTTTGCAGTAACTCGACGCATCACTTTTCTCCGCGCTATTCATTGGCCGATGCCGCGCATTCAACACTTCTGTCCGAAAAATCCAGAATAAGATACTAATCACTGAGTACAGAATCTATCTATCCGTAGCCTACATACCAATTTCATTAATTTGGCAAGCATAAACACAATTTCTAACGTATTACGTTTTACACCTTCATAAACACGCCGATGAGAAGAAACGCATGTGACGCATTATAGCCCGGCAAAGCAACCGGAGTTCCTCGGACAGTGATGTGTCTGTTCAGTGAACTTCTCAGCAATAACAGTGAGACTCACTGTTCTAATGATTGCAGCTCAGTTACATATTATAATGCAAAATTTTGTGGAACTAATTATCATACATGCACTAGTGTAATCCTATCAATGCGGTGTGTAAGACTTACCCCAACTGCTCGCGGTCCTCCCACAGAACTCGCGCGTCCTCGGGTTCCAGAAGAACTCTTTCCACGCGCTCTTCTTCTCATCTTTTGCCATTTTGCTGGACGAAATAAATGTGCACTCACAGAGTCAACGCCTCGAGGCTAACACTCTCTTTGAGAGTAATAAAGAGTTATTCAGCCCTTGAATGTTGTAGAGAAATTGTTAAAAACGAGCTATTAGGTCTCAATGGAAAACGTTTTTATTTGAAAAACAGGGTAGCCTACAAGAGATTCTCAAGGCACTCTGCCGAACCCTGAGCACTCAAGCAATATAAGAGTGTGTGTGAATAGATCTCGCTCCCTCTCTGACGCCCGGTGTTCTGCCCACCCCAACAGTGCAGTGCGCATTCCGCAGAGAGAGAGCGAGCGAGCGAGCGAGAGAGAGAGAGAGAGAGAGAGAGAGAGAGAGAGAGAGAGAGAGAGAGAGAGAGAGAGAGAGAGAGAGAGAGAGAGAGCAGTGCAGCACTAATATGCCCATACTGCAGTAGGACAAGCTCTGCCTAAAAAAAAAAAGAAAGAAAAAAAAATTGCCCTCCCTGGGTACACTCAAGTCACTCTTGGCCAATAGCCAAGCTATACAGCGCACTTAGCCCCGCCCCGTCAGCAAAGTGACAAATTGTAAAGGCTGTGATGGCAGAGATTTGTAGGTACATCTGTCAGCTGTCAGTATCTCATGTGGCCATTGCCAAGGAGACATTCATGTGCCCTGCTATGAGAAGTCTCAGGTGAAGTCCTCTCAGGATGCGCAAAGACTTCCAAAGGCCTCCGATTATCACATGCACTGTAAATGGACTGCATTTATATAGCGCTTTCACAGACTCAATGGCCGCCAAAGCATTTTACATTTTTGCCTCACATTCACCCAGCTGGGATTGTCTTGCTCATGGACACCTCGCAGGGGCGGAGTGGGACCAGAAAATCTACCGGGAAATTTCGTAGACCACCGGCCCTCGTCGCCGGCACGATTAGCCAATAGCATTTATAGTTTTAAAGGGAACTTTGTTGTACTATGCTGGAGTAAAGTTGATAAATGGTCGTTCTTTCCCATAGTACTTTCTAAAAGTAGTTGGGTGGACTCTGTGCCTCTAGGGGGGTTCGGGGGCATGCTCCCCCGCAAGAAAATTTTGGACATTTTAAGGTTATAATGCATCAATCTCATGCTCTCTGAGAGATCGAAATTAAGACCCATGAACTGCTCGTTGAACAAAGAAAAAACATTAATTTGTACCAGGGCAATAAAGAGGGCTCAAATATTTTTTTAGTTATGAGAGTCTCAGTTTGCATTACATTATCAATGGTGTTTTAGGATGCCAAACAATTATTATAATAATGTAATAATGATTTATAATTATTCCTATGACGTACTGTAAAATCCATTTATAGCCTATAAATGTGTAAATGAAAATGAGTATTTCAAAAGTATATTTTAAACTACATTACACTATAATATAGGACAATTAAAATACTTTTGTCCTAATTTCTTCACTTGCAAGAAATAAACCCTTGAGCTTTTATTTAGGAGAAAACACCATGATCGCGAGAGCAAAGTAATCACGCAGAACAAACTGGATGCTATTCTAATGTCAGTTATTATAATAGCGCAACGCCATATGGTTTCAATTTTAGTTCGTTGGCAAAATATAACATAAAATATAAAATTAGGTTTTACATTTTACATCTTTACATATCTGTGTTGGCAAAAGGGAGAAGAGAGAGTTCGGCAAGGCGGATTCGAACTCGCGTTCAGCGCATCAAAAAGCTGCATTCAAACACATCACACCCTACGACCTACGCCACTGAGGCTTTTCTATGACGAGTGTCGTTTTGCTGTAAAGACAGACATTTAGTGCAAATATATGCTCCGTTATAAAAAATGTAAAAAAAAATTGTTTTCTTCCCTTAGCTTGGGCCATGGCGAACTTCCAATAAATACATTTTATCAGACCGGGCCGGCCCTCGCGGCCTCGTAACACTACCGGCCCACCGGGAAAACTCCCGACTCTCCCGATTGCCACTCCGCTACTGACACCTCGACACTTGGTCAGGTGGAACCAGGGATTGAACCACCAACCTTCCGGTTTGTAGACAACCTGCAAAAAAAATCTTAGATTAAAGGCAGGGTAGGCAGGTTTTTTCTAAAATACTTTTCCCCAAATTGTTTAAATATTGTCTTTATACACCAATACATACTTAAAATGTAAGTAGCCTACTCTGAAAAGGAGAGAATAAAAATCGAGTATCTGTAGTCCTCAGGGCTGCAGTAGAGCCCCTCCCCTTCCGGTCGACCGCCATAGGGACCTTATTTTTGAAAAATATTGTATGGTAGTCAATGGCGAGAGACAACAAATATTTTGATCTTGTTTGAATTGTGCCCTGAATTACACATGTTTGTCAATTTAAAAGATACATTTTAAAGTCAAGAAAGTCGCAGTTTGATGTAAAACTGTCGAGGTATAAGACTGTAAAAAATACTTAATTACAAAGACTACAAACCCAAAAGGCACACATTTTCTCTCAATGAATGTTGCCTTCTTTCCTGAAGCTAACGTTACATTATGATCATAACGTTACGCCGTCATGCCTGAGTGTTTTGTACCAGACTGCACACATACGAGCAACAGATCTTGCTTGTTGTTTCGTTTCCTGGGATTTGTTGTTCATTGAGCGATTTTCACATTAAAATAAATGTTACTCTTCTGTTTTATGACAAACTGCGACTTTCATAATTATTCTTTTAAATTGACAAACATCATATGTGCAATTCAGGGCACAGTTCAGATGGAATAAAAAGATAAGTTGTCTCTCGCCATACCATTCATATTTTTTCCTGAAATAAGGTCCCATGAGCCGAAAGTGGAGGGGAGGGACTTACACTCTCTATAAACACATCTACTTATTCCATTTGTAACGAATGAAATGATTGGCTGGATGACTGTCCCTCGCCACCTCACCGATAGCTTGCATTTTCAGTCATCAGATTAATTTACATTGTGACTCTGCCTTAGATTTAATATGCTTTAGATGGAATTAACTCTATTACAAGGTGTATGGCCCACAGAAACTGATTGGTGTGAATGACAAAGAATCAGCATCGCTCAGAGTAGATCTTTCTCCTCTGGGAGGCCCCTAACAGTTTTCTATTGTTTGTAGCACATCATGTATAAAGTTCGAACTTTGGGTAAATATTGTTGAAAAGCGACATGCTAACATCGCTGCTGCAGGACTGCTACAAACCTTCAATAAATTCTTCTCATCACAAGAAATGGTCAAGCTTACTTAAAGGGATAGTTCACTTTGAAATTAATTTTTGATATGTTTTAGCTTACCTCAAGGGCATCCAAGATGTAGGCGTCTTTGTTTCCACAGTATTTTCAATTTTGACATTTTTCGGTCAAACCGTTCTTGTCTGTCAGTCATATAATTCAGGTTTAGGTCCACGTCGAAGAGCATGCACAGAGAAGTCAAAATTAAACATAATTTAATGACTCGTAAATGTAAGTACACAAGAAACTAAGACACGAAACAAGCGGTTTGTGTGAGAAAATTAACAGTATTTATATCGTTTTTACCTCTTGTAACCACAGCCATGTCCAACTGATCTGAATCAGTTGTCCAATGTCCAACTGAACCGAACTGAACCATGTCCAGCGTTCCGCCGGAAGTGATGGCTTGCGTGTGTACGTCACTCATTGTTTACACAGAGATTTCTGAAGTTTTACCTTTCACTAAACATATTTCCATATACCGAAATCGTCTTCCATTGCGATATCCCATATATCTAAATATGTTTAGATCTTCACAGTGAAAGGTAAAACTTCCGAAATCTCTGTGTAAACAATGAGTGACGTACACGCGCAAGCGATCACCTATGGCGGAACGTTGGACACGGTTCAGTTGGACATTGGACAACTGATTCAGATCAGTTGGACATGTGGTTACACGCTCAGAGAATCCTGCACTTAAAATGTGTTCAATGCAATTGCGAATCTTTCCTCTTCCCCAGTCAATTTCAGGTTATAAGAACATTTCATAACATTTCCATTAAAGGGTTAGTTCACCCAAAAATTTCCAAACCTCTGTGTGTTTATTTGTTCTGCTGAACACAAAGGAAGATATTTGGAAGAATGTTTTAATCAAACAGATCTCATTCCCCATGGTAGTCAATGGGGAATGAGATCTGTTTGATTAAAACATTCTTCCAAATATCTTCCTTTGTGTTCAGCAGAACAAATAAACACATAGAGGTTTGGAACAACATGAGGGTGAGTAAATACTGACAGAATTTTCACTTTTGGGTGAACTAACCCTTTAAGTTATAAAAACTTTATTTCTAAATGTTCTAGGAACATTCAAAACGTCCATTTTTTTTAGACGTTGTATTAACGTTCTTACTTGGTTATAAGAATGTAATTAGAGCGTTAAAATACATTGTCACTGTATTTAAACCTTTACATGTAGGCTAATAGTTTTAGAACTAATCTTCTTTATTTATTTATTAAAACTGACAATATTTAACTATGATGTCAGCACTAAATAATTTTTGCATTTAAATTTAATGTGCAGTTGTTGTCAGTGCTGCCAATTTTAACACATTTTGTAAAAGTCATTTGACAAGCATTCAAAATTATTATTATTTTAACAGTCTAAACATGTTCTTCATTATTTCTTAATGAATAGTTTTACAGTAAAGCACGGGTGAAATTATAAGCAAAAATGACCCAGAATAGCAAAAAAAGAGAGACTACATCTTGGGTTTTCTCAACAACCCAGCCTGCTGAGTTAAAATTGCAGGTTTATTTAACCCAGCATGTGTTGTTCTGTCAATATTTAGTCAGCACTGGGTTGCCAATTGGGTTATTTTTAACCCAGACATTTTTCGAGGGAGGAGACTGTAGAACAACAGAAGTTGTATGAGACCTGCCTCTTTGATACAGGGCATCAGTGAACAGCAAATCAGTCCACACATTTCTGCAACTGACTGTTGTTCTTACAGCACCTTGTGTTCATGATGCTGACACTTGAGTAAGGAACAACTGCCCACAGTGAAACTAGATGCTGAAAGAGAGAGTGAATCAGACTGTGATAGCAGATATCCAATAGATCGTATCATGAGTAGAGTGCAGGACAAGAAGACATTAAAGCCATGTGGGTTTCAACAGTTTCTTTTACTCTCACTCACACACACACACACACTGTCACTCGCACACATGATGCTATGTTCATCATATAAAATTTATTTCATGACGATATCAATGCAAATATAGCACTACAGTGATTTCCAAGGAACACCGTATCTTACCATACCAATATATTATGGCACTCATAATATGGCCACCATTTATGTAGACACGCAAAGCCGACAGTTCTGTAAACTAGTTTACCCAATAATACTTAAGTTACCCTTTTCATCTTAATAAGTTGCCACTAGGTGATTATTTAATATATCTCAAGTACAAACTGGGCACAATTTATAAAGACTGGGACGCAGCCCAACCTTGAACTGAATCTTTAAGGGAATCCGTCAATAATTCCCAGCATGCATTGCGCCAGCCCTCCTCTACTGTGGTCTTCCTTACTGTTTGATAAAGACTGTATTTCAAATGGTGCAGTGAAACCCCGGTGTTGTGGTGATAGCATGTCAAACCCTTGGCAACATCACTGCAACATTGCCATCACATCGACAGTAGTGTTGCCAGGGTGAGAACTGTACAGGTTGATGCTGTTAACAATTCAAAAAATAACAACAACTTTTAAATACAACCACAACAACAACCAACTGAGAAACGTTCAATTGCCAACGGTTACAAAAGGATCCACCTCCCCAAAACTCCATTGCATGCCCCCCCCCCCCAAAAAAAAAGATAAAATAAAAGAAATAAATAAAAAAATCATAGAGCACTCAAAAGAACGAACAAGAGAAATGAAAAACCAGCAGTGAGGGATATGTAAGCAAAAGTAGAACTTCAATATAGCAGCAGAAGTACTTCAAAAATATCCAACTGATATTCCAACGAGCCGGGGTGGGGTATGAATGAGATCAGACTTAAGTTGCTTAAAGGGACTTGCATGACACTAACTGGAAAAAAACAAACATTGGTGTGTGTTTGTGAGAGTGTCTGAGACTGCCTTTAGTAGAGAGGGTCCGCCTTTCAGCGGTCCATTCAGTACAGTGTAGACAGGTAGCCACAGATAAAACTACTACATTTCTTTATAAAACAATTAAACACCTTGTACTTTTATACATTATATGCTACAATATATTTATTGATTACAAGTATGAAAGTGGAAATAATTGCTACATAATCAATAGTTGTACATGTTTATTTTACAGATTTTAACACTCGTGTACTTTTTCCTTGTTTAATCTCGATATCATGTGGTTCGCTTTGTTTTGTGCGGAAAGTTCCAACGTCGGTCTGAGGAGCGCCCCTGCATGTTTTCCCAATAAGGCGCTGCGAGTGTGTGTGTGTGTTCGTGTGTATATGCATGTGTGCATGAGCACTGGACAGTGTGTAAAGTTGTATTTTTGTCGTTTTATTCTCTAAGAGACAGGGTGACTGGATTGCTCAATCTTACTGTACTTAAGATACAACTGACAAAGACCTTTTATATATGTCACACACATATGATCTTATCAAACCCCAGTTGATTGACTCTGCCAAAAGGACTGAAAAATACAGCTGGATGTTAGCTCCGCATATGCTCAGATACAGATTAAATGTAAACAGATTCATAAATATGGTCGTTTTTTTGCGAATACAATGACACCTTGTGTTGAAGCAGCCTGTGCATTGGTCCTCACTCTCTTTATATGATGGTTTTTGTAATGAAGCTCATCTGGTGATCTTACTGGTCACTAGTTTCTTCTAGTGAATTTGCCCTTGCAAAATAATGCAATGCGGATCTGAAGTGTTATTGATTATCTTTTCAATCCATCATTATTTTGTATTGGACTGCGGCAAATGATCAGTTTCCTGCTTTAACGAATATTGCTACAAAAGTCACGTAACTTCTGCAGAACAGCTTTTCTTATACTATCAAGATTCAGAGACGCACGTCACCGCACTCAGCAAATTGGCACTCAATCAATAGGCAGTAATTAGACTTTAAAATGGATCTCCTCTACAATCTACAACAGTACCACACAGACCTTCATCATCATTTCCATCATCATGTCTGAATGTGTAAGCAAGTGTAGGCTATACATACAGTATGTCGAATTTTGTATTATTGACCGTTCCCCTGTACTCTTTTCAACTTTTTTCTCTGTGTGTCTGAATTTCCTCTTTTCTCTGGTCTACATCCAACCTCACACACCTCTGATGCAAAGATACATCTTCAAAGTTCACCATGATACACACACACACGCACGCACACACACGCACACTCTCTCTTCTGGAATGTAAAAAAAACATCAGTGTAGCGGATGCCCAGGACACAGCAGCATATCTGAGTAAATCTGGTCAGTAAAAACACACAAGTCCAAAATCACACTGAGTTTATGATATGAGGAAAAGCCCCAATATGATCTTTCAGCGTCTCTTCATTCTTAACGCGTTAAGTTTTGATCATTTCTTCGATCCTTGGAGGAAAAAGCATGTCTATTCTCCTTGCTGACAGATTATATTTAGAGTACGAACGTTGCGATGCTCCAAAGGTTTCCAGTGCGTTTCAAAAAGGGTTGTAAACTCAGCAGCACAGGTTATATTTGCAGCAGCTCAGAGAGAGTTCAGACTCCAGTGTGTGTGTGTGTGTTGTTGGCTGCTGCATCTATATGGCACATAAACACTGTGGGAACACATGTTATCTCCTGCTTCTACAGAGAGATTTAATCTACATCATGCTATTCTCTCTTGTCAAAATGCTCTCACTTTGTTTTTCCAGTTTTATTTTAATCTCTTCACTCAAAAGGCCACTTCTCTCAATTCTCGCGAAATTCCCATTTTGTCTTTTTACACCAAAAAGAAAAAAAAAAAAACAAAGGATTTCCACTTCCCCTGTCTCTATCGGTCATGACTTTCATGTTCCCTACCCTTTCTCCTCTCTCTACCTTGGTCAGATAGCCGTGTCCCACACCACAGCCTGCGTCCTCTGGCAGGGCGGCGTTCCAGTCTTGCGGGGCTCCGGCGTTCTCCTCCAGCTGGGTAAAATAGGCATACTGTCCTGCTTACATAAGCTCTTATCCGGCCGGCGATGAGCCTTAATCTCCTTACACAGGCAGCGCTTTCTCTCGATCACCTCCAGGAGCTTGCCGTCTCGCTGGGCCGGGGCTGAGGAGGTGCCGATGTGAGCCTGGGCCTGCGCGGCGAGCTGAGCCAGCTGCTGGAACTGGAGCTGGACCTGCTGCTGGTACTGCTGCTGCCGGCTCACAGACGGACTGCAGGGAGTCTGAACCTGAACCTGCGAGAGAGAGTGGAACTGCAGACGGTACAGATGGTTGAGAGGTGAAAGGGAGAGAAAGATTGTTGAAATTACTTTGGTATAGTTCAGAGCAGATGAAATGCAGTGGTTCGTCATGTGATTGTTTGATATAAAGATAAAAAAGTTTGGTCTGGTTCGCATGTCAAGTGGTAGACGGCATAACTACACCATCTGGCTGCCAAAAGCGAGAAGTGCATTGAGGGTGATCAGTGCTATTTTAGTTTTTTTTCTAATAAACTATTATAGTATTTATTAGGGCTGTGAAACAATTAATCGCGATTAATCACGTCCAAAATAAAAGTTTGTGTTTACATAATATATGTGTGTGTGTAGTGTGTATAATTATTTTGTATATATAAATACACACTTTTGCATGTATATATTTAAGAAAAATGTTTTATTAATATATCAAATATTTATATTTATGTATAATATTAATTTTGTATAAATATATATAAAGTATATACATGCAAGTATTTCTTAAATATATACATGCATGTGTGTGTATTTATATATACAAAATAATTATACACACTACACACACATATATATTATGTAAACACAAACTTTTATTTTGGATGCGATTAACCGCGATTAATCATTTCTTCTTCTTTCTTTATTTATTTATGCAGGGACCATGCACAATTTTTAACATAAAATTACCATTTCATGTATTGTACCGGATTTAGCCAGAGGCTATTTTTCATCCGTAGTCCCCCATACAATTACACAAACAATACCAATGTTCACATACAATAGATGCACACATACTGTCAAGACCATAGAACAACATAAATAAATTAATCAATCAGTCAACCACTCAATTACAACTACAACAATCTCAATGGTTACATAATTGGTTCAATTTTAAAAAAGATTTTAGCTTCAGTTTAAAAAGACCATGCACTTTACACCCTTTTATGTCCTCTGGTAGGGCATTCCACTGATTAGTGGCTCTCACTGTGAAAGATGATAGTCCAAAAGCAGAACGACGAAAGGGAACCAGACAATTACTCATGAGTGATAGTCTGGTAGATCTCACAGAGGTTTCACTATGAAGATTTATAAAATCACGTAATTTCACAGCCATAGTTTATTAATATTTTAAATGAACTTTTATTATTTCATTTAAATTGTAGTTTAATTATTTTTGATTTATTTTTATTTCAGTTGTAATTCAATAATTTTAGTACATCGACTTCAACTTTTTCTCATTTTTGTTTTCATCTGATGGTCTTATTTCAGCTTTTTCAATATGAAGTTTATTTCAACTGAAAATAGTTTTAGGTGATTAAAATTTTGTCAAAATTTTGATTGAATAAATCGTTTCACAAACAACAAATAAATTGCAAATATTTGGTTACCTGTATATGATAGATATATATATTTCACCATTTCCAACTTTTTATTATTGTATATTATGTTTTATAGGGTACAAAAAAATTTATTTATCACAATGCTTGAACAGTACAACAGTGAAAAGTTTCTTGTTTTGCTGCTTGATGCATTTTTATTATGAATTTTTGGCCAAGGTGGATAAATAAAGGGGAGAAAAACAGTCGGTAGTGCAAGTACCTTAAGTGCAAATTACCTATCAGTAATAGATGATTTGAGAGGAGGCCACAGATATTTAGACTTTCCTTGAAAGAGATTTTGTATAGTAAATTATATATATTTTTTAAATACATGTTTTATATGGTATGTATGCATTTTTTACATACATGTTTACAATAACAACAATATATACAGTAGGCATATGTATATATATATATATATATAAAATACTTTTTTAAGATTAAAATGTACATGGCAGTCACATCAGGAATCGCTCACGTCAGACTATAGATACTATTAAAGTTTTATTCACATTTCCCACTTAATTATATTAGTGTATTTTGTGGGTATGTGCTGTATGCTATATCAAAGAACGCCATCAGATAGCGGCATAGCGCCAGCTCACAGCATCCGTCCCATCCCCCTTCTCTAAATGGGAAGGTCATATCAGCTCACCGAGTCAATCTCTGTGGTGTACACACACACACACACACTATGACTGTGTCAGCATGTGAACTTTTGCCAAGAGAAAACAACACACCAGGGGAAAAGAATAGAGGCTTCTGTACAGCCGCTAACATTCAACAAGATTGAAAATGAAAGATTCTTTCCTGCATGTGTCGCAGTCTGTCTTTAATACAACACACAATACTAGAAGTATAGGACACATAAATAAAAAATCATGAGCTGCTTTGCATGTGCGCAGTCTCCCTGGATTCTCCTTGTTACTTTTCACACATTCAACATACTAAACTCCAAAAATGGCTCTTTAACAAACCGCTGACAGAGACAGTCAGACGGCAGAATCAAAGCCTGTCACCGACCGACACCGGCAGCGTTACTAGGTTTGAGTTTGATCATTCACAGAGTGTTTGCCTGCCTGCCACAGACTGACAAAAAACACTCTTTCTTACTGCTGCACCTGTTTTCTCCACCCGTGTGCTGTGTCTGTCCCCTCTCTTTCATTGGGTCGCCACTTATTTTCCATTCTATGCTGCATTTTCACTCTCTGTCTTTCCCTCTGCTGCATTTCTCTGCCTCGCTCCCGCTCTGTATTCATCCCCCTTTTTCTCTGCACTCATTGACCCTGCAGCGGAGTGCAGTGCAGATACAGACATGTTTGGGTGGGGATGCTGGTGACTCAATGGGCTCTGCGATTTACCTAATGACTGTCTGGAATAGCAGCCACAGGGGCACAAAATGGAATGAAATTAGTTTCAGATCACCTGCCGTAACTGTCAAGCTTGGTTTCAATTACACTTAAGCATGTTAACCAGTTGAACTGAATTTAATTAATTACTGCAGTATCTACACCGACTGAGGCTGAACAAGCTGGTGTGAATTCAAAGCATTTCCTCAAGACTCTGCTCTGAAAAGCACAATATGCAAATAAGCTCTTTCTCAGAGTGTCAGGTTGGTGTATTAGGTGAATTAAAGGTCATTGCAACAGCATCTACAGTACAATAAGCAGGCCCAGACAGAACATGCAAGCTCGTTTTCCAATTTTTGGGAGAACCGCTGTGGGAGTGAAATATAGTCAATCTTTTTGTTGCTACATTCAACAATTCTTTTACTTTACCGCATTTATTAATTAAAGTCACTATGAAATTTTTTATGGAATATTGATTCATCAGTGCACATCTTTAGGTCATGTGCCCTCTTAATCGTTGATAAAAGATTAATTTCCCATCCCACTGGCAACAAGATCTCTTCTCTGATGACATGATCATAAGTTCTGTTTCATGCTGACTTTTATTTTGGCTAATGTTAATTTACATATTGTCAACATATAAAAATACATATTTAGCATTTAAACTAACATTGGTTAAAGGAGTAGTTCACTTAAAAAAAAAAAAAACTTTTGCTGATAATTTACTCACCCCCAAATTATCCAAGATGTCCACATCTTTCTTTCTTCAATCGAAAAGAAATTAAGGTTTTTGATGAAAACGTTCCAGGATTTTCTCCATATAATGGACTTCAATGGGAACCAAGCGGTTCAAGCTCCAAATGAGAGTTTCAGTGCAGCTTCAAAGGGCTTTAAACGATACCAGATGATGAATAAGGGTCTTATCTAAGACCCTTTGAGTCATTACTCAAAAAAAGATTTGTTCATTTTGATGAACGAGTTTGAACAGGAGAGTCATGAACACTCATCACAGAACAGAGCAAGGCGAGCATTTGTGCTTATAAAACTTTTTTTTATTTATTTTTTAAATGACTGATCGTTTCGCTATACTGTATTAGACCCTTATTCATCGTCTGGTGTCATTTAAAGCCCTTTGAAGCTGCACTGAAACTCTCATTTGGACCTTGAACTGTTTGGTTCCCATTGAAGTCCATTATATGGAGAAAATCCTGGAATGTTTTCATCGAAAACCTTAATTTCTTTTGAAGACTGAAGAAAGGCAGACATGGACATCTTGGATGACATGAGGGAGAGTAAATTATCAGCAAAAGTTTTTTTTAAAAGTGAACTACCCCTTCAAAGGAATGATTCACCCCTAAATTAAAATTCTGTAATTGTTTACTCATTGGCAACGTTTACACACAACCAAATAATCTGTTTGTAATCGGATTGACGGCTCAATCGGACTGAATCCTACATTTTCAATTTTTGTAAGCATCTTATTTGATCCGATTGAGGTCGATTTGGTTTATTCCTTTAGTAATCCGACCGAGAGGACAAGTGAACACTTGACACAGAACGAGGTGTTCTTCCTGTTGAATAAAGAGTCTAATTTATTAGAGTGTCATTTATTAGATTTGTACAGTGTGCACATGTATTATTATTCCGATTTGAAGCTTGTGACATAAACTCGCACGTCAAACCAATTACATGTTTAGTGTTCACACTAAACACTATATTCAGATTCATCAATCAGATTACGAATTCAGTCTGACTGAAACAAAAGCTGTGCATGTAAACAGTTTTTTCTTTATTCTGTGGAACACAAAAGTGATGTTCTGGACCCCACTGACTTTCATTGTATGAATAAAACCACTTAAAACAGTTGTGCAGAAGAAATGGCTGCAGATCCAAAGTAATTTAATTCTCAAAACCTAATGTGATAACAGTTTTACAGAGATGAGTGTGTTTAAACAGGGCTGGGGAAACTATAACACTGCAGGTATATGATAATGAGTGTGTGTTTATGTGGAGTTAGTGATAGCTTGTGTTGGTGTGTGTTACCTGGTTGAGCACTTCTCTGGCCGGCAGGCTGCTCTGCCTTTGAACGTCACCCCCTGCTTGTCTCACTCCTGAAGTGGAGGAAGACCTGCCAAGGCGACCCAACTCTATAAAAGATCATAGACACAAGATCATAGAGTCAAGTTATTGTTTTGAAAGGTTAAGTCTCAAGAAGTCAAATCTAAAATACTGTTGTGCTCAAAAGTTTACATACACCTTGCGGAATCTGATTATACAAAATACATGTTATTGTTTTATTTAGTACTGTCCTGAATAAGATATTTTATGTAAAATATTTGCATATAGTCCACAAGAAAAAAAATCAGATTTTTATTTAAAAAAAATGACCCCGTTCAAAAGTTTACCCTTAATTCTTAACTTGCACTTTTAATAATGGAAATAGTAACATAGTTTTAACCTTAGATTAATCACTTCCTATTGCCATCTTTTAGATAGCGGATTTAACATATTTAAAATGTATATGATAGCATTCAAGAGCACGGAGGGGGATATCACTAAGGAATTATGCTCGCTGATAGTATTGTTCATAAAAAGGAATTATGCAAATAATGCAATAGAGCAAAATTGGACAAAAATTAAGGCTGGTGAAATTTGCATGTTGCAGTTTAGTAAGGTTGTGGAGAATGGGATGCAGTACACCATGATCTGGCATGCTTGACGTGCATGCAGGGACTGTGCAGAATCACGCCACCTAAATCATTCTTTAAAAGAAAGGGGGCTCAGCTAAAAAATACCATCCGGATATGTGCTCGTTTATAACACTCTTATCGTTCGTTATCATAATTTGATGATTTATTGCTGCCTTGATGAATAGAAGCAGTACACAAACTGTTTCTAAAGATAATAATGAAATTCATTCTGCTTTCCGCTAAAAGCGCAACATTAATTGCAGCAAGCAAATAGCGCTGACGTCTGTAAATGTGTTGCATTCTATAATGAACCTCATTTGCATTGGAAGCAGGTGTGTTTGCATTGTAAAATGACATTGACTTAATTTAAAAGTGCATTGCACAATGTAATGCATACATTGCTTGGCTAAGTTAGACTGTGTGGTACTGTATGTGAATTAAATGCATGATATTCACTGCACATGCATGACTCAAGTGTTGATTTAGTGTACTTGTTTAATTACTAATTTATTTAATAATGAGAAGATGAGAGCTGAATCTACTTCAACATGGTGATGAGGGTACATAACAGTCTTAATTTATTTTCTGTTGTGGCGCATAAGTAGTGAAAAAGTGTCCCCAGTGTAGTGACGGGGACACTATACTGTCAAAGAGCACCATTCTTCGGATGAGACGTTAAACCAAGGTCCTGACTCTATGTGGTCATTAAAAATCCCAGGATGTCCTTCGAAAAAGAGTAGAGCTGTAACCCTGGTATCCTGGCCAAATTTGTCTCTTGGCCTCTGTTCATCGTGGCCTGCTAATCATCCCCATATACTGATTGGCTTCTGGTGTTCTGGTGCACTATGGCTGGCGTCGCATCATCCAGGTGGATGCTGCACATTGGTGTTGGTTAAGGGGGTCCCCCTTCCATGTAAAGCGCTTTGAGTACCCAGAAAATAATGCTAGATAAATGTAACAAATTATAAAATTAAAAAATAAGAAGAGAAGTATTTCAAACAAGTTGTTTTTGAAATGATGAGTAAGCTAATCTTACTAAGCTTTTATTTTCCTTATGGTTATGGTTATGGGGTGATGCACTATAAAACTGGGGCAAATGAATTTTAATATGAATTTAATTACTAATAAAAGTAGTAGTGGTAATAATAATAACTTAATACAATAATTGGAAATGGTAAATCCTCTTGATAAGGCCGATAGCTGATGCTTTTGACAATATCTCTGGCTATCGTCAATAAACAATATCATCGTCTATCAGCGCAACCTGACACGGTTATTGTGGGGCGCTCTAACAAGTGGGGCCCCCCTGCAGTGCGTGCCTCTCCGGTAAGCCACTGATGGCATATAGTTATCAATTCTTAAATATCCAAAAATACCCCATTACAGTGACAGGTACTGCAGCCAGTTAGCTAGAAATACTTGTTCTGCTGATTTTTCCATTATGGTTTAAAACTGTATTTAAATCTTATTATTCTCTATTATTGATTCAAACAAATCAATGCACACTGATCCTAGCAGCCATAACATCAAATTACATCTTATAAAGCAACTAACCTTTTCAATCAGTTGTCAATGAGCTAAGTCTACAAATGTTTTATCTCTAACCTAGCACGCTTGATCTATATCTGGAGTGCTGAACTACCGAGGTCATGGCAGAAAGCCTGTGCTAAAGTCATTTCAATTTGATCTCACCTCCATTGCGGCATGCTGGGAAGGTTTGGCAGGGTAAGGGCAGGCCTGCTCGTATCAGTCCTCTTAACCCTGGTGGTCCATCTGCCCCAGCCAAGCTCTCGCTGTGTCTCCCTGTTGCCCGCACAGGTATTCCAGAGTGTCCGCCACACCGCATGGCTGCTAGGTCATCCCTCTCTCTCCTCAAAAGAGCATCTGCACTGCCGTTCCACAGCCCTCCATCTTCCTCTACAGAGCATTAGAGAGAAAAACACAATTAAACATCTATGATAGTACAATAGAAAGAGAACCCCCTCAATAATCATCCCTCATACTCATTCCACCCTCCCTACAACCATTACTCACTCTCAGTCTCTCGGCTCCCATGACTGAATGATAATTTTCGGTGCATGGGCCAGTAAGCTTGTTCTTCGGTGAGCCCCAAGGCAGCTGCGCTCTCCCAGGGAATGAACCCGGCCTTGGCCTGCAATGCCTGGGCTGCAGATCCAGTTTTAGTGGGGTCTGTGTGCAAGGATGGCAACTGCAAGCCCCCGCGCAAGCTATCATAGGCAGGCGGTCGGCGGAAGCCAACCGAGGGGTAGGTCCAGAGCAGGGGGCTGTCCGAGGGGGGAGGTTTGTAAGCAGGGAGGCCATGGGACAAGTGCGGGGTGTGCGAGCGGTGCACGTGAGAGCGAGATGGAGGGCGCTGAGTGGAGGAAGAAGAGGAGGAAGGTGGCGTGGCTGCTGTGGACAATGCCGGTTGACTCGGCGTTGGAGTGGTGCTAGTGCCGGTTTGAGAAGTGTGCGTGTATGTGTTTGAGGTGGGGGTCTCAGAATGACTGGAAGATGGCGTGCTGCTCAGGTCTCTCTCTCGGTCACGGTCTCTCTCTCGGTCACGATCCCTCTCTCGGTCCCTTTCCCTCTCCGATTTTTCCGACTTGAGCAGGAAGCTGACAGACTTGCCCTCCTTGGGCTGCGTTTGCGTCTGGGTGGAGGACTGTCCTGACCCCTTGCCCCCTAACGACATCTCTTTCTCGGGCTTGCGGTAATGGTGATAGTGGGACGGCCTGTGGTGAGGGTGGTGATGATGATGATGGTGGGAATATGGAGAGGAGGACTTTGATGAAGGAGGAAGAGGAGTAGAATGACTGCGGGCTCGGAGTCCCGGTGTGGGTCCCAGCTGTCCTTCCCTCCTCTCCTTCTCTCGTTCTTTCTCAACTCCAGTGGAATCTTTGGAAGTGCTGGTGAAGCTTGTGCTGGAGGAGGTGCTGGTAGATGCCGGCAGGCTGGAGGCCGATTGCACGCTGATCTTGGCCGAGCTGCTCTTATGTTGAGCCCCTATCCCACTGGAGGCAGCGGCTGGCTGGGGAAAAGCTAGGAGAGGAGGCTTGTGTTGAAGTAAGTTAGGGAAGGGTGCTGGGATCTTACTGGAGCTGGGCTCATGTTCAGGCTTGGACCCTGGCAGCAAGAAGGGTGTGGGAGCACGGGGAGGGTGTGGTGATGAGGAGAGGGCTTGAGGTACAGGAGTGGAGGATGCAGAGGAGCAGGACGAAGGAAGAGGAGAGGAGTGAGAGATTGAGACGGTAGCTTTAGGTTTGGAAGAGGTGCAGGCTGGAGAAGAGGAAGAGGGGCGTGGAAGCGAGGAAGAGGTGGAGGACGAGATGGAGGAGTGGTATGCTTTAGAGGACTTCATACGCTCATGTTTGAGTGGCAAGCGGCGGTGGGCTTCTCGATTTTTGTCGTCTGGTAAGGGGTACTTCATCTCTTCGTAAATGGCCTCTCCTTGGTCTGAGTCAGAATCAGGCGTGGTGGCAGAGGGCGTGAGTGGGTGAGGAGTCGGGGTGTTGTGAGTCTCTCGAGTGAAGACCTGGCCCACCATCTCAATGTAAACCGGCTCGTCATCTCCACCCTCGCCCCGTGGAGAGGGCTCAGAGCTCTGGAAGGGAAGGGGTGTGGTTGGGGGTGGGACCCGAGGGGGCGGGGGGTCAAAGGAGAGCTGTGTGCTTGGACTCCGTTTGGGCTTCAGCGGAGGGACCTTTCGTCCTGACATTTCACCTGAATCAGATTTTTTCATTGCTGTTTAACAGAGAAAAGCAGAGAAAGAAAGAGTGACACAGAGTGAGAGAGGACATTTTTACACATGCCAGGCGCGTACAGCTTTCTGTTTTCATTAAATCAAATGTGACTCATTTTACTTTTATTTTTTACTTTTACAATTTATGTACAGATAATAATTAAAGTTATCTTTGATTCAAATCAATTCCATAATAGTTCAATCAAAAACATATATTAATGACTAACAATATACTGACAGGAAACAATGGATGGTTTAATAGTTTCCCAGTTCAAAATTCCCGGCAATAAATATTTAAAAATAATTCACAAATTTAGATGCAAGGTTACATTACATGTCAGACGGCTCCTTATTGATATCCGAATCATCAGAGTTAGAAAAATTTATGAGAACCTTCTCTACTCAAAAATCATCGCTGGTCAAGATTTTTTTTTTAATCGAATCACATCCCTTATTTTAGCATGAATATACTATTGATTTGCTCACTAACCATTCCGCTTCTCTGGGTGTTTGGGTGGGTGATTGGGAGGTGGAGGTGGCGGAGTGTCAGGTGGTGCGTGGACCCCACGGGAAGGGTGCTCCTGGTGGCCCGTAGAGCTGAGACGAGTATTGGGGTGGCGTTTAGGCTTGGTTGGGGGGCAGCGGGATGAATTCGACTGGTTTTGAGGGTCTGAGTCTGGATAATACCCATTCTCAAGCTCCTCTCCCTCACCGGTGCCCACAGCATGACAGGATTGAGAGCGTGGTGCCATGGCAGCAGCACAAGAGTGAGGTGACAGGTCCTGGGACGCTGGCATCGTCATAAATCCCATTCGGAAATGGCGCCGAAATGACGCCAGATCCCGAACCTTCCCGACTGTTGCAGAGGAGGCATCTTTATAGCTGGAGCTATGGGAGATGGGAATAGAGATAGAAAGATCAGGGAATGAGAGAAGAAAGGAATTGTTTCTTTGTGGAGAGATTCTTTATGAGATAAGAATAATACATTTGTTTCTCATTGTGCTGTAGGCCTCCCATTTTCTCCTCTTTTCTCTCCCTCTCTCCTCATTTCAACTGATAAAGGCTCTATTAATAGCTCACAGTCAATTTCATTTTTGTCTCTACAGCCTCCGTTATTCACTCTCATCCTTTGCTCATTTCCGGATTGAATACATCCCTGCTACTACTGCACAGTCAAACAGACCAATACAAATAATACAGAAAACAGAAACTTTCCACTGACTTATATTGTTTAATGTTATACAGTTAATGATTTCTGTATTGTAAACCTAAACCAAACCCTCACAGGCATATGTTTAGATTTTTTATATATTTTTAATATTTAATATGTTCATTATGCATTTTTTCTTGTGGTTCCTACAATGTAGGCAATTTCAGGTTTTACTATCCTTGTGAGGACACTTGGTCCCCCCCCCCACACACATGCTCAGGATGAAAGATGAGAGAGGAAACGGTTCGTGCCAGCCTGTGAGATACCCTCCCATCCTTCTCTTCTTCTTCATTTTCCTCATGTCCCCTTCCATCTTTCCTTTCATTGTTTTTTTTCACCTTCTCCCTCTTCAATTCTCTTAAAGTCAGCATAAAATCACAATTCACCCGATCTATTTTCTAAATTCACGTTATAAATGTGAACAATCTATCCATGTATATGTTTATTTTAATTATTTATTTAAAAATGTATTTAAGCCTTAACAGGACCTTCAGATTTAACAACATACTTCTCTCTGGTGCAGTACTGTATGCAGGATCCGATCATTTTAGTCCCTCGCTAATCCTTTACACGTCACAAAATGGAAGAAAAAATCTAACGTTTCTTTTTCATTGCAACTTTATATCCTGATTTCTTAGTTCATATAAAAATAGGTTGCCCTATTCCTTAAATATTTCCTCATGACATGTTTCCAAGCACTGTTTAATCAGCTGATCTTTTGCCCTCTTCCCCAAAACAAAAAAAGACTTTGTCCACGGGCCCTGTCTTTCCTTTCATCCCTCTCTCTGCATCTTTTCTTATACTCCTCAATCTACTAGTATGCTCTCCCTGTTTCCAAGGCAACTGTCCTGTCATTTGTTTATTGTTTGCAGATTTTTTTTTTCCCTAAACACACAAATACAGAGCACACACTGGCATATGTGCATGCATGTATACACACACACACACACACACACACACACACACACACACACACACACACACACACACATAATAATTCAGGTGGGGCCAAGCAGTATTTTGTGGGTGGTAAGTAGTGGGTTGCCATTTGTACACAGACACAGACACACACACACACACACACTTAAAGAGAAATGAACCACAAAATGCTGTTTTCTGGTGATGGGTTACTAGATTATTTGGAGATATTTAGAGATATAGATGTTTTTCCTTGTAAAAGAAACACCCAGAGGAAACTGATATTGCTCTTTTTATATCTCAAGACTTGATGGAGTTTAAACTACTATCGAGTGTTTTCTAGATGTTCTTTGAATGAAAAATGAGAACAGAAATGAGACAATTCTTACAGCAAAAATATAGAGCAATATAAATAATGTGGATATGATTAATACATACAGTGGACAATTTGGTATTTTAAAGCATTTGATGAAAAAATGTTTGATTTCATACTAAAATTATGAACTCATATGATTCATATATTTTCAAATGAATTGTAAGAAAAAAAAACGAAACAAGGAAAGTCTCCATTCAATCTCAAACAATTCAGCTATTGAAGAAATCTCTTTTGTGATCATATTTTTTTCTTCCTATGCTCAACTGTTATATTAGAAATTCATGAACTTCCTCCTGTCAACTTTTAAGATGCGTAAACATTGTCCAGAGTCCACTGTGTCCCCCTGCTCTGACCTTTATGAAGGTTGATGTGCACAAAGTCCAGATGGAAGCGACTCATCAATACACTGTTCTGCAGTGTGTGTGTGTGTGTGTGTGTTCATGTGTGTGTGAGTCTCTGTTGTCAGGCAGAAGGCAGAGAAGATGCTGAGCTAGTAGAGTGTGACACACACGAACAGAAAAGTACGGCACCACAGGATATGATGTGCAGGCATGGGGACACAGCATATGAGTTGGCAATGAAGACTTCCAGGTATAATCTGGACAAAGACCAGAATGGGTTTAATCATCCCATCATAAAATCACAAGACACAGTTTCAGCTGCACACACCATATATATTTAGAACAAAATACTGGACTGAATTATTTTCTCCCATTGTGTGATGTTTAATTTAGGATGTTTTCCAAACTCAAATTCCTGGAATTTCACTTGTCCACAACAATTTGGTGACTAAAACAAAATATTGTACCGTTCAAAAGTTTGGGGTTGGTAAAATTAAAAAAAAAAAAAAAAAAAATGTTTTCTTATGCTCACCAAGGCTGCATTTATTTGATCAAAAATACATTAAAACAGTTATACTGTGAAATATTAGTACAATTTAAAATAACCATTTTCTATTAGAATATATTTTCAAAAGTAATTTAATCCTGTGATGGCAAAGCAGAATTTTCAGCATCATTACGCCAGTCTTCAGTGATTGAGAAATCATTTTAATATGCTGATTTGGTGCGCAATATACTGTATATTTCTTATGATTATAAATGTTTTAAAACTTTTTTTCGGGATTCTTTGAGGAATAGAAAGTTCAAAAGAACAGCATTTATTTGAAATCTCTCACTTTTTTTCTATTTAATGCGTCTTTGCTGAATAAAAGTATAAAATAATTTTTTTAAATTACTGAACCTAAACTTTTGAACGGTAGTGTACTAAAGTTTTATGCTAATCACTGTACAAAATAAATGCTATGGTTTGTAACCCATTTGTGCCAAAGAAATCTGAATGTTAAAATCTGTCTGCTAAAAGCGATATGAGAGCGAACAGACTGACAGTCTCTCTCATAGCTGAGGATTTGGGGTTGTTCGCTTTTATTTGACACGAGTGAAAGCTCAGAGGTACGGGCAACTGAAGCGATTTATGTCTGCTCTATTTCTGTTGTTTTCCTTAAGGCTGCACAACATGTGGCTCTTAAATGGCTTTCTTTTTGCATTAGAATCAGTTTACCAACATACTAAATGATTCACTTGATTCATTCATTCATTTACTGCCACTCATTTGCAAAGACTGACAGCAAGATGCGAGAAAAGCAGAGGGGAACAGGAAGAGATGGATAAATGAATGAGAATCATCTGCATTCAGCAGCAGAGAGGAGGATGGAGGGATTGAGTGGGAGGACGAGAGAGGAAGTGGACAGATCCTCCAGACAGAAAGCGAGCATGCGTGGGTGACCTCTTGTGTATCTCTTCTTTACGTCTGTACAGGGGAGAGAAATAGCTGAAAGAAGATTGGGATCACTGCTGAAGATACTGTGCATGTATCAAAGCATGTTTGATGTGTCAGCCCATGTCTGCATGTGTGAGCAGTTTATAATAAAAGCAGGCGTGTTTGTCTAAGCTCAGGATGTGTTGTGGGTATGCGTGTGTCATGAATGTAGAACACAGAGCGGATGAAAAGAGCTTTGATGTCCATTTGCACAGGTGTCAGAGACAATCATCTAAATGCATTCTCCTCCTCATCCAGAAACACAGAGATGGAGAGAGAGGGGCAGTAATCAGTCCTGCAGCTAAAAGGAATTAAAGATGGAACAAAGCACTCAAAAGAACACAGTCGAAGATGTAAATAGAGCATTGCAGACTATGGTAATATACAGACTTACATATGAAACTAAATGAGTCTTAAAGAAGAAATGTGGATTTAGGACAGGAAATCACAGCTGACATGACAGACACACGCATGAACACACACATTTACTAATTGCCAATATTCCATAGACTTCTTTTCTGATTAGCTCACTACTAGTAAAGTTAAACATACTGTACTAAAACCTAACAGATTATCTTCTTTTTTTGCCCCCGAAAGGAGTTGTTGTCTGATTCTGGGTACAAATTTTCCCCCAAAATATGGCTACACACATTTTGTGTAGGTGTTTTTATTTTGTGGGATGCATGATATTAATACCAGTTAATATCAGTTTTAGGTTATCAGTCTCATTCCATATTGTATATTTTATTGTTTATCTTTGTGATCATCTAATGCTAACGTAAAGTTTAACTTTACAAACACTAATGCATTTAATAATGCTGTTAAATGTAATCTTGTGTATAAATCTTAAAGTGAATATCCATTTTAATGCATTACGTCCCCTTGGAATTATAAGGTTCTATCTGACATTTTTGTCAAAATTGAGTTATTCACATTTTCTCATTCTGTGGCAATTTATTTACATTATGTGATGTGTTTTGTACATTTAGGGTCCCTGTTATTTTTATGTTTGAAAGAAACATGTTCCCCATACACATTTTCCTATATGGAATGCAAAAACTTTGAAGCTCAATATCTCAAAACTGCTCAGAACGCAGATAGAACCTTATAATTCCAAGGGGACGTTATGTTGTGATGCCTAAATTCACTTGTCAGTTTTATAAGTAGTGATTTTATTTTTTAGTCTTTTATTTTAATTTAGATAAAATACAGAAATTTAATACCAACAATTTCTTGGTTATTATCCATAAAATGAAAATAATTATTGGCCAGATTTGTAGTATCAGTGCATGATTTACCTGTTGATACAATTAATAAAAAAATAAATAAATAAACTTCTTATAATTTAAAGTTACAAAAAATAAATAAATAAGGTAATTAAACAAAAAGTCTGTTTTCAAAATGTCCAGCTGCTGATCCATTGACACACCAGAGGGGCAGATTGTGTTGCATATATCCGGCTCTCTCCCTCCTGTCTCTCAGACGAAAAGAAGATTTGAATGCTTTGCATAAAATATATAAGACAAATGTCTCTATTTCGAGTTAAGACTCCTCTTAATCGTGCCCTATTCCTCCATTACGTTCTCTCTCTAATCTTTTTCATTCTATACGCTCCTTCCGTTTCACCTTTTTCTCACCTTCTTTATCAAATCAGGATTTTACTAATCTTCCTCTCACCTCCTCCTTTCCTTTACGTTTCATTTAAGCACTGCAAAGCATCTCTGTAACCCCCTCTATCTTTCTCTCTCCTCACATATTCCTTTATTCTCCTACAGCAGGCTCACAGATTTCTTTCTTTCTGATTATTGTATCTCTTTTACCTTTTCTTGCCCTCTTGATCTCTGTGTCTCCAGTCCAGTCGACTTTTGCGGTACAACAGGTTCATGTTGCCACGGGGATGCTCCTCCTCACAGCCAATAACAGCGCAGTGCAGCCACTGGCCCCGCCTCTCTATGTCACGCAGGAAATTCTCCACCGCCACATCCTGGGCGGAGCCAGAGCTCATGGTATAGAGAACCAATCAGGAGCAAGGGAAGGTATTTTAAAGCTTCCCCCGTCCTGGTTACCTGTAAAAGAGGGAAATGCATGCATTTGGTTAAAGGGGTACCTCTGGCAAAATGAGCTTTCAATAAAACATGGCTAACTTCAACACCCATAATGCACTGGGCATATTGCCATCCAAGGCCACACCCAGCAGTCCGCTATGGATACAGTTGACAAGAGTCAAATACCACTTTGCTTTAGTGGGAAATACTTCTTAGCAAAATTTGAGTTGTAATAGTGTTGACTTGAATTGTTCACGGGTGCCAGAATTCAAAGGGTAAACATTTAGCAGTAGTGAATTACTTTTCTGTTTCCAGCAAAGCATCCAGCGCGTTGAAAGGATTACAGAGAGAACGTCACGGCTGAAAATCTGAAAAAAACCCGTGTTGATGACCACACAAATAGTGTTTTTGATCAAAGGGAGGGGAAGAACTGAAAGACACTACCGTTCTGTCAGTTCTGCAAAGCAAAACACCGTCGCGTACAGATAAGAAAGCTGCCATAGTGTTCCATTTTTTTCTATAATGCTATTTCAAGAGTAGATGAAGTATCACTTCAAGTGATAAACCTACCCTTACAATAACTGTTCTGTCGATTCGACTGTCTGTGGGCGCGGATACAACAATGCGTAAGGATAATCTGTAGTTTTCACGAAAGCCCTTGAGTTTGGAACTGTCAATTAAATGTAAATGTCAGTTTCTCAGTTCTGGTAACATGGAGAATGAGTAAACATTTTTCATTTATAGATACATACTGACAAGAATACAAAGCAGGTTGATCGGTTGCACTTTAATAGTTTACGTATTTAATTGTATGCAAATTAATTCCAATCTTTCTGATAGCATAAAATCCCAACCGTCCAGATGAACTGAAACACAGAATAGATGCTTGGAGGAAGTGCTTCACTCAGCATTCGTTACATCTCTGCATTCCCTAGTGCTGTTCATATTGTTCTTGGAAAATGAAGACAGTTTGGATTAAGTGTCCATAATAGAGTCTATAATGCTGAAGTCTCATCTCCCCTGAACAAAACACAAAGGGGTGGGGGGGATGTTAGATGGCAGAAAAGATAAGTCAGGTTATAAACTCGTGCTTCCCTGAGAAAAATCATTGGAAGCTTCATTTTCATGCTCTACACAAGGCTCCCTTTTCAGTTCCCTCAATTTTTGACCAAATAATTTATAAGACTTTCCAATGACCTTTGTTTGTGATTACTAGAGGGAAAAGTAAATGAATTCAATTTTATTAATTCTGATTCGCTAATTAACTACATTTATGCAAATTATGAACCAGTTTTGACTAAACTTTTCGTTATTTGAAAAGATGCTGAAATAAAAAACAATGCAATTTTTAGAAAAACTATTGAAATATTCAAAAAACTAGAAACTTTGCAGCCAACTGAAATAAGTTGAAGTGTTACAAAAAAAAAAAGACTCATCTGTGCTAGAATACCCACTGGAAAACACTTACATTTATCTTTAAATACTTCTCACACTTTGCCTTCAGAGCTGTCTTACTCATTTACACATTACACATGCAATGTATGAGGAGAGAACATTTCAGGTTGTGAATTAAAATGATCACCACTGCACTTCATCTTTATCACAGTGGACTGTAAAGGGCATGTGGGCCTTTAGAGGAAGATGATCTGAGTAAGATCTGAGGAAGATGATCTGAGTAAGATCTGAGGAAGATGATCTGAGTAAGAATGAGAGGCTCAGTTGGCTGCAGGCCCCAGGGCTGCCCCGGCTGTGCCTGTGTAAATCTGTGGTCTGTAATGCAGCCTGTCACATGTAGTACACAGGCATTCTGGCAGTAGAGAGAACAAGCAAGCTTGAGAAGAGGAGAGAGAGAATGAGCGTGTTCGAGCTGCTTGTTGTGGGGCAGATATTGTACAGAGTGCTCTGAGTTTGAGTGCCTGGTAGTACGAGAAAGAGCTCTGATTGGCTAAAAAGGATACAGCTGTCAACTGCTGTGCTTTTCCAGTGTTTTTCCAGGACAGTGAAAAGGGGAAAGCGCGGGAGAGGAGGAGAGATAGGGACTGAGAGAGAGAAAGAGAGCAATGACGAGAAGAAGGTGAGTGGGTTAGCTGAGCATGTTGCTGAATGCGCAGATACGTGAACGTCCAGCGCATCAGCAGTATTGCTATGTAACAGGAATACACTGTAGCTGGACTCCAATGTTTTCAACACAGTTTTAGTGTCGTAAAGACAACAAACACACATAATACAGACACACACAAACAACACACAATAATGATTCATGACTCATGTGCATCCAGGCACCCACTTGTGCAGTCATGCATCACTAACCAGTTCATAAAGTCAAACATGACTAAACACACACGCAATCACGCAAACAGATGTAATTTATTTGGATCACATGGGCAGTTTTATTTCCAGTCATTGCCTAACTTACGGAAGAGCTATGAATGAAAAATAAATGAATTTATATAATTACTCATTAAACCCATGCCTGCAAGTTAAACTTCATAGTAAACTGGGTCAGCTCTTACAGTAGAGGGGAGCTAAAGACGAATATGGAGCAATGAATACAGCTTATACTGACTCAAACTTTTATCCACGGCAGTTTATCTGCATCAACTGAGACACATTTACCGACACTTGACTGAGAAAACAAACAGATCAATGAACCAACAAAGCCACTGTATGGACCGATGATGTATGTATATGATCCTGCCATTAAAAATGTTAGATAAACCGATGATTTCATCATTCCTATGTAAACAATTTAGCCATGTTAAAGGCACAATATGTACGATTTTTTCGCCACAAGAGGGTGCAGTTTCAAACAATAACAAGACATAGGTTGATGACGCAGTGATAAGCTGAATGATGGGACTTGCTGTCAAGCTGATGGATCTAATCATGTTTATGGGCGAGTACAAACATTCATGTTTTTTTTTAACATTGCAGTGGTATGAAGCAGGTCGCGATTGCTAAAGAGACAGCTATCACACCAGAGTCCCACGGATATAAAGGAATAAGGATATTTAATTCTACAGAGCTACCCGCAAGTGCTGGATTACCCACACAGATCAGTTTATTAGATGAATCAAACTTGTGAGGTAACGCAGCGCTGCCTCACTTGGTCTAATGTTACACTATCACACTAAATGGCATTTAAATGCGTGTTGAAAGTAATAATGTTATACTACGTGTTAGTTTGTTTGCTATACGAAACTAGCAGTAAGCTAAAATCAACATTAGAATAACATACTGACCATATTTTAACATTATCATGTTGAGCTAACGTTAAATAACATTGATTTGTTTTCATGTACATTTGCTCAACTGTCTAATAAAGCTTTCAAGTCGTGACTTGTGAAGCTCTATCAAGTCCAAGTTAGTCACGGACGTGGAGCTCTCGGCATCTCAAAATCATTTTTTGTTAAAATGATAATCATTTTAGTTCTTCTTGTTTGTCCCAAAGTCTGCTTGCCATAGTCTATGTTTGAAAGAAACAAGAACGGCGTGCCGCTAAACCTTACGCACTACACAGGTGTCCACGTCTGTCGCCATAGTTACATCATGGCTATGGCAGTATGAACAAAACAGAGAATAGTACAGATATTCTGTCATTGACAGGCATCATTTTTTTCTGGGATTGGCCACTTAATTAAAATTGGAATTTCTCTGAAATGAAAAATCTTTGGAGACTTTTGGGATATTGTAAGTACACAACTGCAGGAAATATATCACACTGTGCAAGTGATTTTTGAATGTTTATTAAAAAAATTCTTACATATTATACCTTTAAGAGTGAGCCAAGCTTCTGGTTTCATTAACAGGGGTGTCCAATCCTGCACCTGGAAGTTTCTAGCGATCCTAAAGACCTTCCTTGCATCCGAATATGTTAGACCAGATTATGAAGTGCATTTTTTTGAAGGAAACTGTAAGATTGCAAGTTTTCTTTTTAAAATGTGTCAGTGACATGCTTTTCAAAAACAAGTTTCAATAAACAATACATGGGTTTCAAATGATTTTAGCAATGTAATGTAAAAAAAAATGGCATTTATAGTCCGAATTTCATATTTTCTTAATGTCTTGTACTGTAAAACATGGAATCACATGGATAGGATTATGCATATGGAAATTATATATGCAGATGACATTATGCATAATAAAACTATAGGCAATGTAAGCTCCATATATGTATATATCTTCAGCTGATTTTGAGTGAGTTTTATAAATGGAATTTTGTGCAGGTTCTGGTGTTCGCAAGGATTTATAAATCTGAAAACTTCTGTGCATATGGAAAATCTAGCTTTTGTGCATACAATCACTTTTAGGATGTAATCTGTGGAAAGTTTTATACATGAGGTCCCTGGGTTTTTATATTTCTATATGTGACGTTGACAGCTCAGCCACATCAGTATGGTGATGCTTCAACTGAATAAAAAACACAAGGACAGACAGATCTCTTTTTTTCAGTTACCTTTCAGCTGTTTCAGATGTGAACTTTATTGTGTTCTCTACAAACACAAAGAACTGTACAAAAATAGACTAAATCTGTGGGACTCAAGAAAAAGACAATTATCTGCAGAAATCTGTCAAGGAAGGAAAGAATGGATAAACGTTTGGAAAGTGCTCACCTTCATGGACTTCCTCTAAAATAAGTCCTCCTCACTTAACCTGAACTCCACCTTTTCACAAACATTTAATGCTCACTGCTCCATGTACAGTTGTTCTGCTGCTCAAAACCACTTCATGGATCTTTATAGGACTCAACAGAAGACCACAACATGGATCAGAGAAGAACATTTAAGAGAAGCAAGTACTATTGTCAAACATGACTGTTGAAAAGGGGGTAAAACTGGACCTTTTGTCTTGAGTCCGGAACATGTTTTTAAAATGTTCTACCTGAATAACGGGAACTATTACAAGTCAGCTGGAGAGGCTCACTCTGTTCACTCTAAATGCTCATCATCTGAACAACACATGGATCAATTATCTATCCATTCATCATTTCAGCATGCACCAAAAGTTCTCATCTTCATTTG